GCATTTCTCTTTAGCCAAATTCCCCAAAGTAAACTCCAAAAGTTATCCCACCATAACTTGTCTTTAAAAATCTCCTTTTTTGCATTGCACCGGGGTAGAAAAGAGAGGGAATTAAAATCATCAATAACCAATCTGAGGGGAGATAGATACCATATGTTCCTGACAACTTCACAAAATAGCAAGGCATGACAAATAGTTTCGGAGGCTTCGCCACACATTGGACATAAATCATCAAGACATATGCCACGTTTTTTCAAATTATAACGAACATGAATAGCCTTATGAAGAGCTCTCCAGCCAAAGTGCCTTACTTTTGGTGGCAGCTTCGCATTCCACAGATTAGACCATAGAGTCTTTTGCATAGGGGCAGAAGAAGAGGCAATGCTTGATCTAGTAGACTCAAGCATGAGGTGGTAAGCGCTTCTGACAGAGAACTCTCCAGATTTTGTGTGATGCCAGGCCCAGGAATCAGCAGTCCCAAACCGAGCAATTGGGATTTTTAGGATTTCTTTAACTTCATAGAGCGTAAAAAGATAATTCAGAGAGCTTACATTCCACTCACCTTCGCAGATCAGGCTATTACATAAGCAGGGGCATCATACTCAGGCTGCTGATGTCTTTTAACACACGAAAATTGGGCAAAGAGGGAACCCAAGGGTCATTCCATACGTCAATAGTATGTAGCACCTTTACCAATCAGCTTTCTTGCACCTTTTGAAATTAAATCTCTAGCAGACATAACTTTACCAATCATAAACTGAAAGTGTTGGCTCACTTGGTAAGACTCTTACCTCATATTTTAGAGATTTAAGGTTCGAATTCAGGGTATTTGGGGGTAGGAATTCCCTTACCATCTCCTCTACTCCTAAGTGTCTGACCCACAAATAGTAGATAAAAAGAAAAAAAAAACAGTGAAAATTGAGATATGATAAGTTTATGATTGGTAAAATTAAATGGTAATTGATCTAAAACACTTGAACACAAAGATAACAACAAAATTGAAAAATAAAGGGGGAAATTCATGCACTCACGTTATACGTAAAAGTAGACCCAAAATTATCAGAATTGATTGGATCAAGGCGACAAAATGTGGTCATCTAAAGGACCACACTATTAGTGGCTGTCCAACTAGACAAAGACACTTAACTATGATTTCGTACTTAAAAATAATTTTGTTTGTGTACAGAAAAAATAATGATTTATGCTCGGAATTTTTCTTTTTAAACAAAATATAATCAATAGTTAGAAAAGTCTCCTTCCACTATTATAACCTAACTTATTAATTAAGGAATAAATCAAGAAAATAAGCCAAGATATGCATGTCATGCATGCACATAATTATTTTTTTTTTTTTTTTGGCATGCATGCACACAATTGAATAAGAAATACTGTATATTTGATAAATTATTTTTAGGGTCGGTTCTCTTCATCTTAATTTCAATTCAGTTCAGCTTAGATACAATCAGTTCATTTCAGTTCCTAATTTCATTCTCTCATAAAATATTCAGTCCACTTCAGTTCAACTCCAATCAGTTCAGCTCATTTCAATTCAGTTTAGTAAATCAGAACAGGCCCTTTGCTAACCTTAAGCAAAGAGATTTACTTCTCAATGGGGATCAAAATGTGATGGATGGCCAATAAATAGTGACAGATCTTGAACAATTTTTATTTTCTTGAAATCCAAATTAAGAATATATATAATGAGTTATAATTATGTTAGGTTCAAATTAGGGGAAGGGGTCAAATTAAGAACAACAATTACAATTTTGTTTCAAATTAAATTAATAGAAGGGTGTCCAAGTATGTCCTACCAAATAACATATGTAAGTGTTCCACAATAGTTGAAAAAGAGAAAGTTAATAACTTTTATAAGGCTAAAGAGCCACTTTTCCTATTGCCATATAATTTCAAGATAAAACCTCTTTTGGTCTTGTGAAATGGACTATCTCTCTTGACTTGCGACTGCGGCCCAGAATTGTATTTAACAAAGGAGTCAAACTAATAAATTTTTTGAAGTATGGCTTAGTTTCATATGAAATTTAACAAAGCGGTCAATATTAAGCTGTTACTTGTTAGATTCTTCTTAATGTATGTCAAGTATCTAAACTTCATTATTTAATTAATACTTACAAAATTAATTAATTAAAGACATAAAGCAATAACCAAATTAAAAAAAAATTTGTTTGAGTTAATCTAACAATAAGATAAAGTCATAAAGAGATGGAGAACTACAAACCAAAAGCAAGTTATTTGGAATATTTTAGTACGTGATGGTCTTTAAGACCTTCCTTTATTTTGCAATGCATAAAAAACTTCCACCCTCTATTATCTCACAAAATATATAAAGGTGATGATATAAACCCCGTTTTATATTATTTGCAACAATTAGACATTTTTTCTTTCTACTTAATATCAAATCGTTGCAGATAATATGAAACACTTCTTATTAGTTCTCACAATTCACAAAACTACAATTGCATATGACAGGATTGATAGGAGTACATCATATCATATCAAATAATGTCAGTGGAATATATTCTTTCTTTCTCCTACGTCTGCCAACTTATATCCATCCAATTTTGCTGCGTGCGACATGCAATGCATGTTTAGGTTATGTCGTCTGTTTACGTAACCAATGCAATCTCAATAGTAGTACCTGCCTTCCATTTGCCATCTTTATTTTTCCGTCACAAATGCTCAACCACAATGACTATAACCACTACCAAATGAATCGTAGTGATACAATTGGCAATATACTAATATAGACTACTCTAACTTCTTGTATATACCAATATAAATGGGAGTAATACGATATTACTTTAGAGAAAAGTTTAATGAAATTTTGTTGATATCCCTGAAATCAACCTCTATGTTTTGCCCAATAACTTCTTCAACCAACTCATGGACAATATATATATACACGCAATTTGTAGCTTTGTGATGGGTAATAATCAAACTGGACAAGGCAAACAACACTAGTGCGTGTGTCATTTGGATCATTCAATTCATATTTGATTGAACAAACAACCTTCTACCAAATAGTTACTCCATCATCCCTAAGTATATGATCCATTACTATTTTAATTATAGTTATTAGCTGAATTAACTGCACATGTTAAAGTTCTTAAACTTTAAATGAGGGCGTCCAGGATACTTTTCCTTTCATAAACTTCTTACTACTACCTCGATTTCTTTTATTATTGTCCTATTTCTCTTGACTCGATATTAACCAAACTTCATAATCAACTCTAATATGATCTATTTAACGATATTTTTATCCTAATACAAGTATTAATTATAAACCATCAAACCTTTTTCTTAAAAGAAAAGAAGGAAAAAAAAAGGGTATATATTATATAATCATGTAACATATGCTCCCTGTCAAATAAATAGGCCCACAATTAAAATCCATGGTGGGTTTCACGTGCCATGCACAGACGACAAACCAACAAAAGAAGAAAAGCAAAACCAAGAGTTGGAGCTTTCTTCGATCTTATCTTAATCATGGCAAATTTTTAGCAAAACCATTAAATAAATTAATATTTACAGATCGATCGAAGTTCATGAAGATCTGTTGAGTTGACCAGTCAAACCTCAAAGCTACTTTAAATTCAAAAAGGTGTTCACTTTGTTGTGGACTTGACATGCAACTTATTGCCTTTTACTCGTAACCTTCTTTGACTCATGCATCATGCATACCTCTCTCTATCTCCTATCATATTCTTCTTTTTTTTTTTTTTTTTTTTTTTTTTTTTTTGAAAGATACCTCCTATCATATTCAATTATTCATAAATCTTAATCTTGGTAAGAAATTAAAATTTCTTGCTTGTTGAATTGTTGATAATATTTTCACATAACAATAATATACAAATATACGTCTATATATCTTCATGATGAATGTATGTCTCTAGCTAAAAACTAAGAGATATATATTATAGGTGTTTTTAAGCAAGAGCGAGTTTTTCTAAAAAAAAAAAAAAGAATCAAGAGCAAGGTTTTTTTTGTTTTTGTTTTTTTTTTTGCTATATAGTGAGTCATTTTTTTTTTTTGACACAATATATAGTGAGTCATTAGTTTTGTTCATTTGAAGAATTTTAAATGAGCCAGACTTATAAATTGAGAAAAAAAAAATGTTATAGCTAGATATGTACCCTAAATTTAGGTATACAAATACAACTAAGAATACGTTCATAGTTCAATACATACTAAATGTGAGCATGTAATATGTTTTCCCTTCTAGGATAATTATTAATTAGGGTGTTATAAAATATTTTTTCCCCATAGGATTACTAACTATATATATTCCTTATAATTTTAAAATTTATTTGTAAAATTTAGATATGCTATGACCATACTTGAAGTTCCATTTTTTTTTTTTTTTTTGGGATGGTACTCCTGGTAGTATAAAGTTGAATTATGCATTAAAAATGAACAGTAAGTCCTATATGTTTAGAGGAAATTAAAGTTCGAAAAAATACGTCAACAAAACTATTGCTCTTCCTTCATCGACATTCAAATGATAATTTTTATTATTGGTTCACAAACTAGAATTGATAGAATGATGTAGTGTTAGTTCAAATAATGTTTCCCGTCATTAAAAAAATAAAAGTTCAAATAATGTTACAACTAACATATATGCATATTATGAAGCTCTTTAATACAAGAAAATTTGTTTGTACATTAAGAAAATTGCAAGTTAATAATCGTATATACTACGCCTTTTACCCATAAATATTCACCAACATATGAATCAATCAACATAGTAGTGATTTGATGATAGATAGGCGTGTGATTCTCACATGAGACACTCGATTGTGGACCGAGAGAGTACTTAATTCATCAATCTAGTGATAGATATCAAGGAAGGAATTCTTTTCATCATGCACAAGTGTTATGGGATAGTTCACACATTCACACCAAACACTTGAAAGTCCAACACATTTATAAAATCAACAAGAGAATGTTATGAAACGAAAAAATGAAATTAAACAAAGTGCGTGTATTATGAATTTATGATTTATATAAAATTCTGAGCTTAACCCATGTATTTATACTCCATATAAATGCTACCCAAATTACAAAACTTGTACAAACTGAAAATTAAACCTCCAAAAAACTTTGGACTTATTACTTGTGCAATATTTCCTAGATTCTTGGAACACTTGAGAGAATCTTACTAAAATTAAAACCTAATAACCAAACAAAAATACTTTAAAAATAATAAATTCAAAAGGTGATTAATTAATTAATTAACTAAGTATGTTAATTAGCATGAAGGAGGATCAAACTTGTAGAATTTATCAACAGCAACTGAAACTTCCCAAATGCAACTAAGACCTTTGGGAAAAATCACAATATCTCCTGCCCCAAATTCTACTCCTTCATTATCATTTGTTGACCCTTTTTTAGGGTATGCCTTTACTTTTCCTCTCACAAAATAACATGTTTCCGTTGCATCATATTTCAATGTTATTTTTCCTGGTGGACAACCCCATCTGCACATAATCACAAACAAACATAGCAAAAAAATAATGTTATTATCTTTGTTCGGGTTTTTTGCTATTAACGTGACTATTAATTCCAGACTGATAAAGTAACTAGAAGATGTATATATACTTACTTAGGCCAGGATTTAATGCCGAGTTCAGATAAACGAGCTTCGGAGGGATTTTTCTCAATTATGATCTTGATATTTGATTCTGAAGTTGTTCCCATTTTTTTTAGTATTTGTAAATAAAAGAGTTTATGAAAAAAAATGAAAATGGAAGAAGGGAGATATTTTTATGGTTGTTTTAGGGTGTGTTTGGTTTATTTATAATGGTATAGGGGGAATGGTGAAAGAAGGGGACAAGGAGAAAAAGGAATTTTAAATGTGGGGCAATGAGAAAAGGAATATTTTTTTTTTGTTAATGTGTGTTTTCTTATTGAATAGAAATATGAGTGTGTTTTCTTATTGAATAGAAATATGAGTAAGGAAAGACCTAAGCAAGAAGTCTTTCCTTAATAGTAGTATATATTGCTCTATACAAAAGAACAAATTTATTCTATTCCTAAAATATCATGTGTTCCATACTTCATATACGACAAATCAAGCTTTATTTGGTAGAGTTGGTGAAGAGTTCACCTTGTAACTTTGAGGTCACGGGATCGAATTTTACCAACTCCATTTGGTTGGGAGTAAAGAAATTCTCTTATTACCTTCTCCCTCTACTCTCAACTCTTAAACATTGACTTGCAATGGTTCAGTAGGATTCCTTAAATATACATATTATTAATATTATTGTGGACAAAATAATAATTTTAATAGGTTAAAAGTTTACCTTTTTAATAAGTGAGTTAGATTCGGGTCTAAGGCTTTCAAATTGTTTAGATTAACTATTTTTCAACTTGTTTATTAACAAGACGAATTTGAACCCGACACAACATGATCTATTTTACAATTATCATAATGTAAGCCGTATAAATTAAGTGGAAATAAGAATATAATTGACTTTGAGTTTAAATGATGTTAGGAGTAGGCCCAATATGGAGGTTGGGTCCAAAGAATCCAATGAGATTGTCAAGTCCAGGTAGGGTGTGGGCTAGTCCTACAAGACTACTCAATTTTGATATTTTGATTCAAAATTATCCAATCATAATCATAATGACCCTATTTGACCCGTTTATCATATCTACTAAGAAAACATATGTAGTAGTTTTAATTAACAAAGAAAGAAAAAGAAAAAGTTATTTTACAAAAAGTTAAAGAGCAAAGTTTATAAACTTGTAATCTATTATTGTTCTATAAATTATTTGTAGCTTTTCTAATAATAAATCATTGCTGCTTTTTGCATGATAAATTAAGTAAAGTTATCTTAGAACTAGACTTTTTTTTAGTTGGATTCTAACTATATCTTAAAGAAAGTTAAAGATAGCATGCAGTCTAAGATATAATTTCCCATTCAAAAAATTCAAAGCAATGTGAGTATGTGACTTTTAGTTCTCATCATGTAGAAGGGATAACCCGATTAATTTAAATATGTATCATGTATGTTCAACATCACACGGCTATTTTTTTGGTCCAAAGACATTATGTCTAATAAGTCATTTGCATTTCAAATAATCAAAAAAAAAAAAAAGTAAATGTTCGTTATGGTCTAATTTATAGTTATACGCTTTGGGTGATACTTAAAATTCAACATTGAATCATGTCTTATTAGTCGTTTTTTGCCCTCTCTAGATACGCACATAATCTCTACTTGACATCTATATCTACTTGATGCTTATGTTTGGAATCTTACTAGTTAGAGAAATTCGCATACAAAGAAATTGCCACTTCTATTAAGAATAATGCTTTCTTCCTTGATTATTTCACAATTACATTTCTTTGTCACCTTTTTAGATTGACCAAAGATATATTATAATTAGAAGATAACTGCAGAGAACAAAATCAGAAAGCATTGTGAATTTGTGATATATTTACCTTAGCTTAAAACAAGTAAAATAAAAGAATTAATACTAGAAAAGAAAAAAAGATTTAATTATATTCTAGGTGGATTTGGGCTAAGAATCATGGACACTTTGGGCTTCTCCCAGGCCCACCATAGTAGAAATGTTGGCCCCAATCATTGTTGTATGAACTCTGAATATCATAACAGTTGATATTCTCAGCAAGAATTTGGATATCTTGGGGTGCACTAAGGCTGTTGTCTGAGTCCACAACCTCTAGATTCCTGAAGTAACTGGCTTGGCCAAACCCATCTTCGGCGAAATGGCCCGAACCCATTTGAGTCGCGGTGTGAAGCCCGTTAGCCTGTGTGTTGACCACCTCACCACCCCACTCTACCATGGTTGCATGATCTGTTAGGTGGGTGAACAACTCTGCTGGCCAGTACCCTACTAGGGTGTCATCCCCAAAGCTCATCCACCAATTTCCAAGTTTTGGATCCTACAATTTTCAAACAAAAAAATATCATAAAATAAAGCCCGATTCTTAGGAAAGTTGACTGTTGTAGACATTTTATACACCAAAGCCTAGTAAAAATGTGTGTGAATATATGTACACATGATACACCCGAGTGTATAGTGGACACCTTAAAAGACGTGCTTAACTTATAACTTTATAACTCAAGTCATCTTATATCCCTAGAATTATAATCCTAAAAGTTATTCCACAAATTACATATAATCATGAAAATATTTTAATATATACTTCGTATTATTTAAATTAACGAATGATATGCTACCTACAAGTATATAGTTCAAAATGAGGAGACACAAACCTTCCAAATGAGGATGGTGATGTCAAATTGGCTGCCTTGAAACGAAGAAACCGGAGAAATAGCAGCTCCAATTGCAATTTGGCTATTAATTTGAATAAACCCAGCACATAGAAGATTGTAGCAACCAGTTGCTTGATACGAGTCACTCTGTATCATGTCAAACAACATAATTTAATATCATTCCTTTACTCGATTTTATTACCATCTATTATCACTTTGTTTATCAATTATTAGTATATTATTACTAATAATTAGAATTTGAAAACAATGTAGTACAATTTACATTTTAAAATACAATATATTACAACTAATAACAACTCTCTTATTAGCGTGTTATGTACAAGTCGCTTGTTTGGAAATGAATTACTAGTAGCATTCTCATAAGTCATAACCTCAAATCGACTTATCAATTTTACTTCCACTCTACTGTTTTGATCACCACTAATCAAATCTAATTAACAGAAGTTTGCTACGCATGCATTTAGTGAGATAAGGACATACAACCTTATTTAAGATGCATTCGATTCACCTGGTATTTAGTTATCTAACTTAAAGCACGGATTTTATAACTTAAAGTTCACCTCTAGCCCTCTAGGTCACCTTTGTAGATCCTAGGAGTGAATTTCAATCAACTCATCTTTTATCAAAATATGTTAATTGCAAGTCACTCTACCATGCAAAAATAGGAAAAAAATAAAATAAAATAGAAAACAAAAGGGATTAACGGCCATTTAATAAGATCCACTAACAAAGGGGTGTAAATTTCATCATTATAAGTAATGAATAGGTGGTCCAAATATTTTTGGGAATTGGTGTAATCAAATTTGGTCAGTTGATCATTATTCAGATATTAAGGCACATGGTTGTGTCACTTTCGTACCATTACTTATAATTAGTACACAAGTGTACTAACTAATTAATGGTTATTATCTTATTTAATGCATATACTATTACCATTGGATCCATCCATTCTCATTTTCTATAAATAAATTAAAATCATGAGTGTACTTTGTAATGTTTTTCTCCATATTTGGATAGCATAATTGAGCAAAATCTAACATACATCTGTAAGTAATTGGAGTTACAAAATACGTAAGTATACATGATACATACATTCAAGCATATAGTCTATCGTTCAGGTAATTAGTAAGTTTTGAAACTCGTTTAATGCTTCTCGCAATTGTTTGTGAGTATATCAATAGAATGAGTGTTTAAAACAGAAATCAGCTTTTACCAAATTTGTAATTAAAGAGATGCTAAAATCAGAGAAATTATTGTTGACATTAATTAAAACAGAATTTGACTTTTATACATTACAAATAGTGAACAAAGTAGGTGAATTTATTAATAATTTTGACCTTAAAGACACTTAATTACCCATGTGATTATCTTCTGACTTCAAAGAAATTTCTATCCCTTGTATTATTTAATTTTTCTACTTGTATTTCCTAAATTTATTAATGTGCTGACTTTTATTTGCCAGCAGTTAGTAATTAAGTAATTAGTAATAAAACACCAAGCAATTTCCATATTATAATTTCAATTAACTAAATTAAAAAATGGCAAAAATAAAGATTAAAATAAAGGGAAGAAATCTGACCGTCCAGTAAGTGAATAATCTTGGCCTGCTATCACCATAAAGCTCCGGACTGACCTGACTAGTACAACAATCATATCCTTAGGGCTTCCATCAACTAATTAAATAATTAATTAATGTATTCATGCATAATGCATATATATCTGCTTAAAATAGAATAACGCAAGATATGTGAATATTCGGTGTTAAGTAATAATGCAATTTCTATTATGAGACAATTTCATGTCATGGCGAGAATCAGTAGTTTTTGAAATAGCACTAGACTCAGCAAACTCTTTTTAAATGAGCAAAACTAAAATTTAAAATTACAATAGTTAGTTTCAGTTAGAATAAATCAAGTGAAAAAGACGACCTTAAATCCTAAATAAAGTATGAAGTCGAGTATCATCTTTAATTATATGGGGTCGAGCCAATATATTACAGAATAGGGAACACATACAATGCCTAGAGGTATATGGGAAATCACAATGTATTAACAAGTTCCTATGAAGGGATATAGTCAAACATCAAGGTTCATACTACTTCTATGCTATGTTACTATGACTCGGGTACCTATGTCTGACACAGATACGTGTTCAAGTGTTCGACTCAGCTATTTTGTAAAAAAGTTTTATGATTTTGAACTAAAAGTGAAGTGTCAGATGCCACACCCATATCTGAGTGTCGAGAATCCGACACGAGTACATGAGGTGAAATAAAGAGTCCGAGTATCATAGGTTGTATGGAGTAATTATAAAAGAAATTGATCATTGGAGTAAAAAAAAGAGAGTACATACCTGCCAACCAGCTTCGATACTGTTAAGATCAGAGCCGTCAAAATTGCCAGATAAAACCCAAATTTGAGAAAGGCTAAATTCGTTCAATTCTTCAATTGATGGATCCCACACGTTTATTGTTGCCTTTGCTCCATATATTTCTTCTGATGTTCCCGTATAAGCTATTGCATGCTACACAACAACAAGCATTACACATTAATTATAAATTTTTTTTAATTATTTAAAAAATAAAAAAATCAAAGGTAATTCCACCACAATTCATAATCTATTCGTATGCACTAAAAACTACGAGTCCAGATTATATAGAAACTTTGCATGACATGATGTCACGTGTAGTCGTGTATTTTTATGTATCAAATTTCACTCCTTGTGTTATAATTCCTATTTGCTATCCCTCACTGTCAATTCTCTCTCTCTCTCTCTCTTTTTTTTTTAATTGTTCAATGTCTTTCCATGTATAAGTACTCAATTTTCTTTTACTTGATTGTCATTTTCCTCTTCAAGTTAGTGAATTAATTCAATGAATAAGTTTTTACAAAAATCAAGATGCACATGTACATTTTCTCCTTTAACTTTTCAAATTTCAATAATTTTAGTTTTAGATTTAAATTAATAATTGAAGAGGAGGAAGGGAAAATAAAATAGATATTATAGTTTTAATCCTCAATTTTTATCAATAGATGTTTATAAACAATACTCTTTACTAAAGAGTGAAAATTCAATACTTAAAAAAAATAAAAAAAAATAAATAAATAAAAAAGCTACCAATTTAGCATATGTAATGTGGTATGAATGGAGGGAGTGGAGCAAAAGTGGTGCATTTAAACCTTGGGCCCTTCAATAAGCCAAATTCAAGGAATGAAGGATACAAAATTGGTTAGGAATATAGACCCATTTTATTTAAGTTCCTTCCTTACATCCCTCTAGGCCTCTCAATATTACAGTTGGCATGACCTTAGTTTTGTAATTTTTTTTTTTTTGTAAAATATACACTACTCCGTACAATATTACGAAGTATATGATAATTCCAAGATAGTCTTATCTTTCACTTATTACGCAATAATAAAAACAAAAAATATTTGACATTAATCACCGCTCTTGTCGTTATCATTCTGGTTGTGAAATAAAAGGCGCAAAGGGACATCAGAAGTCAATTTTAGTTGTCACAACTTAACTTTAGACTTTAGTTTATTTCTTAAATGGATGATTGAAAATGCACGAGAGGGGAAAATCGGAAGGTTTTATTAGCCTCATTCTTTGTGGACCAACTTACAAGATTTTAATTACATGGTAGTATTATGGTACTATGGAAAATAAGGGAGAAAAAAAAAGTATAAAAATACTAAATTCCTAATCAAGTAAGTAGAATCACAAATGGGATCAAACATTTCTTTGAAAAAGTGATATGTCTTATCACTAATTGTCAAAAGTCAAAAGAGTCAACATACATAATCCTAATTCCTAATTGACTAAAAATTCCTTGTAATCTTGATAATAAGCGCATGCAATTTTTTCCCATGCACATAGCAACAGTTAAAGACGAGTGAATTGAATAGTACAAATTGCTAAAGTTCCCTAATTGATTGTCTTGGTCCTTCCTAATTGAGCAACCTAAATAATTAGAAGTACTGTACTAATTATTAATTCCAACTGCTAGTTTTTTTTAAAATTTTATAATTTAATTTTTTTTTTTTTTTATGCTAAAATAGTAATCATACACTATTAACGGTGTACTTATCTAATTGATAGGCAAGGCAAGTAAATATCGACTAGTATAGCACTATAGCTTAGTTAATGTTATAGCCCTTATATAGCCTTATAGGCGGCCATTTTATAATGAAGGGCCATACGAAGAACTCCGTATTATTTTGCAACAAGTATATAAATGGGAGAAACATTTCGTGACTAAGTTTTAAAAACAATAAAACTAAAGGTTCGTTTGACATTGCAGTGGTTTTCTGTTTTTTGGTTTTTTGGTGAAAGTACGATTATAATTTAATACATTGCTAATTTGCTATTATCCATTACGTTAACTAGTTATTATTCACTCTGCCTATCTATTTAACATGCAATCATATACTCTCGCATAAAATTTTAAGTATAACAATAATGTAAATTCGTGGAAGAAAACCTAGCTAGCAATGAAGAAATATATTATTGGATTAATCCTCAATCAACATCATAATTAATTATGACAAAAAATATCATTATCTCTTGATCACTACTTAACACACATTATAATGATACCAACATTATCAACAATCAAACAAATCATTACAACAATTAAGAGGTATATATATCCTCCAACCTTCATTTTCATTTTAAATTATAACAACTCAACAAATAAATAATTAAATTTTAACATCAATTAATGAAGTAATTAGCTAGTTTAAACAAAAATTGAACTACATACCTCATGACCATTGCCATTGACAACATCAGGAGCATCAGCCCTTCTAGCTAAAGTAAGTGATCGCGGTCGCTTCTTTCCGAAATCATACAATGATTTAGACCTTAGCACATCATGCACTGTACTCCGGCGTACCGGAACAGTTCCCTTAGGGCATCTTGTTCCATTTAAATGCCACATTTGCCATTCTATTTCTTTGCCCTTTCTATTATCCCCTTCTTTTAATTCATCTATTTTTACCATTTTCATTTTTGGCTTTTCTGTTGGCGTTTTCTGTCACATACAAAATATTAAATTTGATTAGACAATGTCTTAAAATTGATGAAATGAAATAATACTGTCTCTATCCGAAATTAATAACCACGTTTATGTAAGCGATAGTAGTGCAATTTGGATTTTGGACTAGTTATGTGACAGCTAAACTCAAAAAGTGAAAGTACACTCGTGAAAATGAAAATTAAAGTTTTAGAAACTGAAATGAAACCACTTGAATAATGGTATAGTCCAATGTAACATTAAGTACCAATTAATTTTGCACCTAAAGTTTTAAGCTTTTATTCACGTTCAATTATTATTTTTTTTTATTTAAAAAAAAAACTTAAATTTTATTTGCTAAAATTATTTGAGGAAAGAAGAAACAAACCTGAATCTTGTGATTCTTCAAAAGGGGATGATCAAAAGCTGGTTGTTTTTTTCTATGAACACAATCTATAATGTCTCCATCAGGGCTCTGAAATTAGTGGAAAAAACAAAATTAGTCATACAAAAAAACAAAATAGAAGATTCATAAACACCAACAAAAACCCTTCCAAAAAAATTAATCAAATTAAAAACAAATTAATAGATTAATTAATAAACTAATTAGCAAACAAACCTGAATGGTAAGAATGGAAGGCTTGTTAATCTTGTTAATGTGCTTCTGAATCCTCTCAAATCTCAAATCACTAACTTGTCTATATTTTGTGTAATTTAACCCCAAAGTAACATTAAATATTCCCAAAAACAGAACAAATAATACTAGAAAACCCAGTTGAATTTTACTAGAAAAATGAATATTTCTTCTCCCAATTAAAAAACCCATTTTTTTTTCCCCAAAATTTCTTTCACATTCTCACTGTAAAATAAAAAATAATAAAAACCCAGATGAGAAAAACTGTTTTTGAATCCCTAAAAAACAGAGTAAGGTTCCTCTGTTTTTATATCTGCTCTGTTTTCTTTCTCTCTCTAGTTTCTCTCTCTATAACAGTAATGTAGAAGTGAATAAGGTGGGTGTAAAAACTGGGAAATGAATTAAATTTAGAAGTTCAAAGGGTTTGAAAGAAGGACAGAGAGATCATGATTGCTGAAAATGCATTGGAGTCATATATAACTTCCCAAAATTAAAACACTCTGTTTTACAATTAATAATTTTTCATTTTTTTGGGATTTTTTTCTGGGTTATTTTTTGGGGTTTTTATGAAGTGGGGTTGTAAGAAATTTATACCAAAAAATAAATTAAAAAAGAGAAAAAAAGAGGGAAATGTGACTTGAAAGGCAGAAATTATAAAGGGTGGAAGAGAGAGAAAGTAGGGCAGACCTACCCAAAGGAAAAGGGAGTTAATGAGAGTATACCCACCTAATTTAATTAATTACTTGTCAAATTGAATATGAGTTTTTAATGATTTGTTATGCATCTATCTGCCAACACCACTGAGTTAAGAAAGGAGCATTAATTTTTCTTGAAACACCACCAATCCACCATCATTAACTACTACTACTACTATAGTCTAACCAAGTCTATGGGTGTTTTTTAAGCTTATATTTCCTTTTTCATTGTGATTTTTATATGTTAAATTAAGGTTAATGTGTATTTGAAGCATGAAATATGAAGTAATTGATAGGGAGTAGTGTATAATAAGATAATGAATCCATCTCATATTCTCGTGTTAACATGGTCTAAAGAATATGTGTATAAAATTAGTTGATTTTTTGTAAGACTTCTTTCTCAAATAAATGATTTTTTTTTTTTTTTTTTTTTTTTTTTTTTTTTTTTTTTTTTTTTTTGGGGGGGGGGGGGGGTGTTACAAGTTCAAACTTGTGTTTTGTTGTAAGGTCCAAGTCTTTGTAGCTATATTGCTTTTTGTTTGACTTTTGTATGACTTAAGTCGTATGACAAAATAGTATATATATCACACCGCTTTTATACAAATTTGTCTATGGCTTATTATAATTTGGAAGGAGCTGTTTAAGTGCAACATAATCCAAAGTGAGAAATGTGTCAATTGATTATAAGCTTTTACCTTCTATTTTGTTGGAAATTACAAACTATGATTGAAGTTATTTTAGATTGATAAAGAATATATGAAATTTAAAACAATATACGTAATAAAAAGCATTTGAAGTTCCGTATTATAAAACACACATTTCTTTGTTTATATCGTTTTCAATTGACCTAGAATTTTATTGCATGTACGGTCTACTTTTTCAATTATTAAAAAGTTGATACAAGCATACAACTATACAATTCATGAATCATTATGAGTTATTTTCATTATAATTTAAAAGTCAAAGAATGGTAAAGATTTTGCTCCATTTTAAATGTATACAAGGTACATGTAATGGAAAAGAACGTTCTTACCAAACTATCATCATCAACATCCCTTTTTCTTTCCTTGATTTTTATTTTCTATTTTAATTTTTATTCCTTTTAAGGATTATCTTTGCTTTACATTTTTTCATCCCCAATAATTAACCGTTTTTTTCTTCTAATTTTAGGACATTGTAGAAATTAGAAAAGTAGAAAGCAATGGGTGTGTTCTCTAACTAACTTACTGCCAGTGGCAAATAGGCAATTTAAACAAAGTTTTACACCTAAAGATTAAGTGAAAAATAAAGGATAAATTAAAAAATCGTGATTTATTAAGTATTTAAGTATAATATGTTGACGTACACGGCACTTGGTCAGTCTAAATGTGTAGTACAGTATACTGTAAGATATACATAAACAATACTACATGCAATTTCATATGGTAGTTTTTGCAGCTCAAATTGTTCAACTAAACTTGGTTCATATTTTGCCAAAAAATGGTAACTTTCACTCGTTTAGCATGTTAACTGCTTCCTTTAAATAGGTTCTGTAAATAAGGAAATCTGTTTCAGTTGATTGTTACTTGTATCACAATACAAGTACTATGTAGGATTGTAGGTTATGCGAACTAGCTTACAACAGAATCTCAAATTTTGATTAATTAAATAATTATTTGTATTCTTACAAAATCTAGTTTCTGAATCGTTAATATGTGATTATATAATTTAAAAGTATTTTTTTAAGGGAGAAGTATTCATATATATTGAGAGGTGACTTTTTACATAAAGTTTCATGTGTGGTTAGCCACATCGTTTGGTCGTTTGGCCGGGGTTACTTATTCAAGGGTAACCTTTGACCGATCGAGTAATCTATGACCGATTGAATAACCCATCACCGACTGACCACCGAGCAAACCTTGATTGACCGAGTAACCCCTAACCGACCAAGTAACTCCTAACCTTCTGAGTAACCCCTAACTGATCAAGTAACTCCTTGACCAAACGAGTAACCTCTACCACACCGTATAGCCCCACACACATAGAAAATGCTCTGACTTTTTATGTTATATAGATAATTTGATATTTCTCCAACATAATTTAAACTAGACACTAAATTTCGAAAGTGAACATTCCAAAATTGAATTTTTTTTTTTTTTTTGGACTAATGAGATTATATTATTGCGCTTGGAGCATTTATGATCTAGGACCACATACATACAACCATATTACAATATTGACAAGTACTCCGTACTAAGTAAATTTAGTATACTTTAAAAAAAAATAATAAATTATATTTCTGTATATATGTAAAGTCAAAGGTACATAGTCAAATAGAACTATATTTCCAAAATTTTAAGCAAGTTCCACCAAAGAAAGTATCCTATATTTTGTTGGACTGTTGTAGTGTTGTGCCTTTTTTCCGTCTAAAAATGACAAATTTAGAGTACCAATTTCCTTTCATCTTTGGCATCTATCTTATGATCCCAACATCATATTATTATTTTACTTGACTTTTTATGGTTTTGCTTACGCAGATTCTTGTTAAGGCCGCAACACAAATTCCATTTATGAAATCTGTTTTGAATGTATTACGTACATTTTATGGAAATTAAAAATAGCAAGAGTTTATGAAGCAAGTAAGAATTTATTTATTTTTAGCATCGCCAACAAGTTGGATGCTAATTAGTTTGAAAAGGATTGCGTACGTCTTTTTAATTATAGCATGGCTTTATAGAACAAGCAAGAAATTAGTTTTAACATCTCTAAGAAATTCTATGTCAACGAGTAATGTTGATTTAAGGACTGAAAAATTAGAAGTGGTACTAAGAATTTTTCGGTTGAATTACATAAATGCCGTAAATTTTAATTAAAATCTTCAAAAAAAATCTCTGTTTCCCCCAAAAAACCATCGATATTAACAAGTGTATTACAAATCAGGTTGATCATAAGTCTCTTTGTAATATGGATTCCCTTAATATTAAATTTTGATAAATTATCAATTAGAACCATGCAATACCAATTACATAAATGCCGTAAATTTTAATTAAAATCTTCAAAAAAAAAATCTATGTTTCCTCCAAAAAATCTATCGATATTAACAAGCATATTACAATCAGGTTGAGATCATATGTCTCGTTGTAATATGGATTCCCTTAATATTAAATTCTGATAAATTATCAATTAGAAATATGTAATACATAATGAACTTGATGAAACTTTTTACTACCTCCGTTAACTATTATTTGCAAAATATTTTATATCTCACAAATAATACCCCTTTGTTGCAAATAATAGTTAACGAAGGTAGTAATTATTTTTCCATCAATTTATTTATTTTAAATAGCATGTACAATAGTACTTGTATCTTCCAATTAGAAAGAGCATAGCAAATAGACAAAGACAAAGTCTTTAATTAGCGATTAATTTTATTGAATGTGACATACTAGACTTGAAGAAGTTGGGCGTTAATATCAGAATAAGGTGGCTAAGAGCTGTAAAAAAGTGGGGACAAATACAGAAAATAAAGGAAGACGTAGTGGTCAAAAATTAATAGCATAAACCGTACTTTTATAATTAGTCTCCCTTTTAAGGCACGATTAAGATCAACAGCGCAGCCGCACAACCAACAAAATCTGATTGATCAACAGCTACATTTTCATTAATTTGTAGAGTACAGCAGAAAAAACAAGTGCACTACATTGTAACAAAGGCAATTTTATTTCAAAAAAGCTCAATTATCTACCTTTTGATTTCTATTTAACAAAAAGGAATACAATAAAAAGCAATGATTGGGGGATCTAAGGGACCAAAATTACTCTTACATATTCTATCTACAATCGCGGAAGGAACCCCCTTGTAAAAGATATGTTTGCTAGGTGTGTGTTTATGGTGTTGGTATTAGTCTCCGCCAAAAGGAATCACGATATACAGCCTATGCTGCAAAATAACTCACAACGAGCATCCTGTTACAGCAGCTCAATCTCATCCTTAACCAAAACTTTCTGCAATCGGACAAATGAATTAACCTAAAAGTAAAATTTTCAGCCACTTGAATTGTCATCTTCACTATCTTCATCACCATCACTGCACATCAAATAACGGTCCCATTAGTGAGCCAACAAGGAGATAGACACAATCTGCGCAAACGACTTTCTAAGCTAAGAGCATAACAATTTGATGGATGGATGCATCATGCATGAATGCAAATTTCATTTTCACAACCCTAGGGTTATATAAACTGCGATAGTGCTTCAAATGTATCTACAACCTCGTATCTAATGCTAAGTATGTTACAACTCCACTCTTAGCTGATCCATATTGCAACAATGTCAATTACGCAAAAAGGGAGGTCACCACTCACTTCAGTGGAAAAGCTAAACTAACGAAAGGCAATTTCCTCTTATCTGAATACTAGGCTATGGAAGGACTAAGACTAATCTGATGGAAATGAAAGATATCAACTGCAACATTATAATTTTCAACATGAAAGTAGTTGTTACAATGGCCAAAAAAAAAAACCATCAACTTCAATTTACTGCTAGGAACATCTTAAAGTATGAACCAATGCATTAGAGAAAATTGGTTCTGAAGTCTGATGCCACAGCTACTGTATTTAATAGACTTAATAAACAGGGGAATACCTGTGTTCGGGATATTTAGCAAGTCGTCTTGCATCTAAGCCAGTGATGTATTTTTGGGCTGCCTGAACATTATCTGGTCCTGTACACAATAGGCCAAGACCCAAGAGGCATGTAATGTGATTAATTGATGTGAAATATATTACTACTTTTATCTCTTTCATTAACAGCCTCAAAAGAGCAATTACCTTTAGCCAATTGGAATGAATGCACAGCACATCGTTCTGCAGCAAGCTTCACAGGTGTACTTCCATCCTTTAGACACTCAGCCAATGCAGGACCAAAGATCGACACATGTCTCATAATGGCTGAAGGATTTGCCTGCCAAAGAATATAATTCCAGTGTCACATGAGTAGGGAATTAATACGATACATCAAAAGTTCATGTCTAGAAAATAAGTTAAATACCTTTGCAGCAGCCTTCAGAGCAGATAATGCTCTTCGTCTAACTTCACTGGAGTCATCTTTCAGCGCAGAAACTATTGAGGACACAGTTTGAGCATGCAAAGAGCTACTCAATGGGTCACTTTGAATCTGATAAATTAGATATCTTCCAAGTGCTTTTGTAGAACTTTCACGTACTGGGAACTGTATAAAGGAAGTAAAAGAAACTTAATCAGGATTTGAGAAAGGAAAATGTTCATTTCTGCATCTTGATATCAATGTGCACTGTGTGTGTCTTTCAGTTGGTACCTTCTCATCTTTTAGCTTGTCTTTCAGCATAGGTATTATGGAGGGTGACAAAGATAATAGACAAACTCTTGATGGGCAGTGTCGAAGCATGGATGAGATAGTGAGTATTGAACCATGTCTTGCAGTCCAGCTGGAAGACAAAGCTGAATCTAACAGGTCTTTGAGTAGATCCTCTAGCTGACTGTCCTCAATGTACTGTAGTCAATAATATTTTAGAACAAGAAAGAAGATGGGAGACTTAGGTACATACATGGAGATAGGCCTAAAGCAATTTCTTTTCATACATACCTCAGATGTGATCCCAAGGATGCTAGATGCAGATACACGAACTAGGTCGTCTTCAAGGTCAATAAAGTCTTTTAACAGGTCACAGACACGAGTTTTTACAGCAATGCTTAAACTTTTTCCTGCATGCTTCACGACACCTCTGAGGGCAAGAAGAACAGCTTCTCTCACACCACCTTCAGAAGCCTAACAATCAACCCCACACATTAAACAGAAATACGAGCCAGTGCAAGACAAATAAGAACAATAGAGAAACACAAATTACCTGTAAACTAGACAAAAGATCACTAACTAAAGGATCGACCCTACTGCTGAGTGCACTGAGTTTCCCCAATGCCAATGCAGCACTTGAACGAACAGTTCTGCAAGAAAGAGCTATTTAAATAAACTCCCACAAGAGCAACTTTTAGAACTGCCACCAGCATACAAGACTATCAACACTCGTAATCACTGCTACAAAGCTATTAAAATCAGCAGCTGACCTGGTGTTGTCCTGTAAACATTTGATGAACGTTGTTTGCAACTGTGGTAGAAAAGGTTTTAGGGCCATGCCACCCTTCTTAATTATGATGGTCAAAGTTGACAAAATGGCACTTTTAACCTGCCATGGGAACCTATCACCTATGATACGAATCAAAGGCCTGCAGTAAGAATAAAATTTTGTCAGGATTGATTTTGTATTAGAGTTACACCTGTGCATCAAAATAAAATATAAGAGATTAAAGGAGCTACAATCAAATTCTGTCTAAGCTCTGCATAATACGCACAGGCACAAACAAACATACTTGAGAGAGGGGAGATGCAAAACTAAAACAATATAATGTGCAAGCCAAATTCAACCTTCAGACGCTCGATTAGAGATTAGTACAATTCAAGAGGTGTATTTCACAAGAGCAGTGATATGCTGAAACATTAAGCTAGGGCAGATTAAGTAAGTGCGAATGAACTAGCACAGCAACCCATGAGAACGAGACAGACATCTGATGATCTGAAGGCTTATCTTTCAAAGAAATATCATCAAACATTTGAAGTATAGATAACTATGAGAATGCATGTATATATTGCCATCAGGATAACATACCCTGTTATTGGTATAACAAATGCCTTCAGTGCTGGCTCACTAGTTACATCAATCAACTCTCCAAGACCCAAGGCTGCCTGTTCCCTCAGTTCTGCTGATCCACTGATCAACCCCTGTTAACAAAAAGGAAAAATTCTGATCAAGTAAGATTTTTACAAAAGGGTGGGGAGGATAAGCCATGAATATTACGAGGTTCTCCTAAAATGAACACCAACAATTGCTTATAAGATATCATAGGCTAAAGCAATACACTATTAAACAAATTTAGCTCGAGATTTTAACACCATCAAGATTAGCTTATGCTGTAACTTTGATCTATATGAGGTTTTACGCATAAAAGTGCCAGCAAGAGTATAAGGCATCAATATGGACTAACATGGATAGCGGAATTCTTGACAGAATTACTGGAATTAAAAAAGGCATCAATGCAGCTATTAAGTAATTTCATCATTTAAATAGGGCACATATGCGGTAATTCAGATGGAAAAAAGGAGATTAGGATTTCACGTGTAGGCATCAAATCAGAAAATGTACAAACTACAAAGGAATGCCAAAAGTTAAGGTCTTGGATCCTATTGACACTAGCATGAAAAAGCATCCGAGCAAACAATCAGAAAGAAAGTAGTCCAAGACATAAACAGCAGCTACTTGCCTTTGATCCACACGGATCAGGTTCCTAGATAATGCATAAAGTTGACATACTGCCAGTGAATACAGATGTAAGACCGAAACTCAAAAGATAAGACATGGCCACTGTAAGCCGTAGAACAAGTGGCTTGATTTAATAGGATATGCAAAATCTTACAGGTCCTTGACATATGAAAAAGAAAACACTATATTGTCCTGATCAATCTATAATATGGCATCCAATGATACTTTAATGGCGACTCAATTCTGACACCAGATCAACCAAATATCCATTCTCACTAATTATAAAAGAGTTCAAAGTTCAACCAACAGCGAGGTAACAATAGCACAACCAGACAACTTTGAGAATGAACTATATACAACGACATTCACCAAAGCAAACGGACAAATATTTCATTCTAAAAGTTATCTACCCTAGCATAGTCAAGGAAAAGCCAAGCCTAATTCGAGAAAATACAAAGTCACGAAAATATGACAGGTGATTAAAATGATATCCCAGAATTGGCTACCATTTTAAGAAAATTCCAACTAGCTGCAAGCCATCACACACTACACTACAAGTTCAAATTAAATAGATTGTCCACCTTTTGAAGATTTACAAAAAGTCAAGAAGATACCTGCAGGAAAATGGGAAGCACAGGTTGCAGGGCTTTTGGAAGACAAAAGCCTGGTACTAGTACTGGTCCTCCCTACAGATTTAATGAACCGTTAAACCTTATGAATCAAACAACATCCACTTAAAATACAGTACAGAAATCATTAGAAACGGAAGATCACAACTGAAAAAAAAAAAAAAAAGAACAATAATATGAACTTGCCTTCTTCTTTCTTCGCTCCTTATCTCTCGCAGTGGATACAGCATCACGAACAAGCTTTATGTGACTTGGGAGTACTTCTTTAGGAATTGAATTCACAACCCTTAACAAAGCTTCCCAGGCAGTCTGCAAAATAAAATATGAGAAACAATTCATGGTATAGAGAATTCAAAGCACATAGCAATGCATTTGCATATATTACCACAACAGTCTCATGATCAGAATCACTGAGCAGAACAATCAAGGTAGATATCATGCTGGGAGCTTCATCATCCAAATAGAGCTTGCTATTCTCGAAGAGATGGCCAATAAGGTACGAAGAACTTCTCCTTATCGATGCCTAAAATCCAGATAAATTGGATATTACAATGGCTTCAACACATGAGAACTATAACTCAGGCTTGACAACTAAGAGATTAGATTTTGCGGGACATACCTTGCTATCACCAGAACCTTTAATAAGCTCTGATATTAAAGAGTCAATTCCTTCGTCATCAATGACCAATACAACAGTCTCTGCAGCTTTCTTTGCTAAATCTTGGACATTCTATACAGCGAAATTAAGTTGTGAGGAATTGGCACAGCTCATAAAGGAAAATCAACATGTATTGGCAGGAAGAAGCAAATAAATGTTTTAGATGCCACAAACCATATTGTCATCACCCATTGCAGAAAGCAGGGCAGGAAGAACAGTATTAAGGTGCAAATTCAGACCAGACCCAGCAACCTCCGCCAAAGCTCCAAGAGCATGTGCATTAAATTCACTAACACAAGAGTAAGAAACATAAACATTAGGGAATAAATCTTTGGAGAGGGAATACATGATAACATCACACAGTTATAAATACCTGAGGGGAAGTTGAACCAGCTTGGGCAAGATGTGCGGTAATACTGCAGCAGTCCTCACACTAACAATACCATATTCAAGGATGAAAGGATCAGCTACTTATTACGGAAGAAAAATGATTACCAATGTGTCTCACAAACAAGGAAACTAACCTTAAAATTTGCTTAAGACCATCTAATGCAGTGTCAGAGGTATCATCATCCTCTAAAGCATGCAGAAGAGTAGGAACAATCTCATCAATTGCTTGCAGTCCAGCACTCTGTAGAAAGTAGTATAGTATGGCATTAGTAGCTTCAATCTTTCAGACATAGATTAAGGACAGTAAAAGATGCAAATAAAACCTTGTATAGAGTACTAAATGCCATGCCTGCTGACTCACGGACCTCCTGCTCACTGTTGATGCAAGAAAAAAACCATTGTCATAGAAGGGTACTAATTTGGAGCTCTAAACTAGTCAAGTCTTTGCCTACAATCGTGTAGTGCTAACAATGAAAATCTTTTACCAAATTCAAGTGAATCTCAACAACAATGCATGATTTACAAACCTGTCACAAAGTGCAGTCCGAATTGTAGGGATAAGTGAATCCATAAAGCTCAACAACTGACTCTTGCCAGCACTCCCCATCACCTCACTCAAACCAATGCAAACACCCTGCCCACCAAATAAGCCATATAAGTTGAAGCTATCAATTTATCTTCATTGTAATCACCATTACCGCAGGCATCAATGTAACTTCCACACAGTAAAAGATAAAAGCAAACACATAAGGATTATTATAGATAAACATATAGGACCAATAAAATAGCAATGGCAATTGGAAACACTAATACAAACATTTTTTTAATCTTAAAAACACAAATAACTGGAAACTTATCTCCAGCATCAGAAGTTCATAGTCTAGTTGCAGAGGGAATTAGGTAAATAACCTGAATTGTATGTGTTATATAAAAACGCCACACACATTGTATATTATTTTTGTAAATCAATATGAAGGTATAAGTGGAAGGATGTCGATACAAATAGCTACATCAGGCAACGTGTCATAAAGCACAAACCCAACTTGGGGGGTGGGGGGTCTAAGAGCACAGTGTCTATCCAGTAATTTGATTCATATAATAGCAGCAACTACAGACCTACATATGTTAGAATGGACAAAGCCACACAAAAAGACGCAGATAACTTATTTATGCAGATTTCACTCGAAATATTGTAACAATAAAAGTTAGCTAACATAACAAGACCATTTTTTCAAACATCACAACAGCTTAACCCAAATCACAATGACCAATTGAGTGTGTACCCAGTAATAGTATATTGACAGGTATTACACAAAAGCACATCCCAACAACTAACAAAGTTGGTTGAATGCAGACACAAAAGTTGGGGATATTTCATACTTGTCTTCTGCCAGAATCAGGGTCTTTTAGTCCACTAGATAGAATAGGTATAATCAAAGGAAGCACTCTTTCACCAAGCTTCCTAACAAGCTCACCCAATGCCCTTCCTGCAACCTAGTAGACAAACAAAAGAGCAAGTAATGTACATAGTTCACAAATTAAATTCTTTAACTGAGAACAGCATTAAAAATTAACAAACCTGTCGCCTTTCATTAGATGGTGATGCAAGTGAGGATATCAAGGTATCCATCAATACAGGCATAATTTCCTTGAGCGTCTTAGGGGTATTTGCTACTATGGTCTTCCATACATGCAAAGCAGCCTATAAAAACAAGAACACAAACAAATTATCAAAAGTTTGACAAAAATAGAGAACAATTAAGTGTTTTGAAATTCTTAAACTGGATATGTACCTGACGCACTGATACACTGACATCAGTCCGAACCATGTATAAGGCTGCAAGCACTTCATTACGTTTTTCTCTACCAAGCACCTCTATAATAGCACGTCCTTGTGCTTCTGTACTAGCTCCTTCATCATCACTACCTCCTTCGAGCAATGCTTTCCCGGAAGTACCAGCAACCTACAGAGGAAATAAAACTTTTCTTTGGTATGAGAGAACAAGAGAGCGATATGATCTCAACTATTTCAAACAGAGAAATTAAAGCAAAAGGGAAATAATCCTCTAAATACACACCTTAAACAACAAGTCTCCCAAAAGCTCGACTGAGCTCTGTCTAATACGCCAACTATCATTAAAAATTCCATCCTCAACAGCAGGAAGTAGCAGACGCAAGGACCTGAAAAAATTACAGCAAAGCATAGCACAAGAAATAAATATTAGCCTAACGACTTCATAATTTCAGGCTCATATAGACATATAGTAATATGTTCAAAAAAGACTAAGCCCAGAAAATCCAGAGTTTTTGGTTTCAGAAAATAACGGTCCTTAGGATTTAGCTATCACTAATACATGGTTAACATGAAACCCCCAAACATTTGGAGGGAGGGGGGGCTAAGAATGGATGGTGGTTGGGGAGAATTAGTAAACAAAAGAATGTATTCAGGTAAAAAGCATAACAGTGAATGAAAATTTTGAACTAGTATCAGAGAAAAGGGAAGCTTAAAAAAGGGTTGGAAAAATAAAATAAAAAACACTCACGTTGTTGCATAGTGCTCAACAAGAACATGTCCAGCACTAAGAGCCGCATCACGAACTGATTCATTTTCATCAGCAAGACCTAAACAACAATTGAGATTAATAAAAGTTAAAAAGGACTGGAGGAGGGTAAGGACTGTGTACACAAAGGATTAGACTGTAAAAAAAAAAATCATAGATCAGTTTTCAGAAGTCTACTAACCATCAAGTATAGCAGGCAACACCTGCTGCAAATAGTTCTGAAATTGTACACCAAGAGACCTCGGCAAAAACTACAAACAAATTCAAATAAGATCACACATTTAAAGGACAATCTTCTTATTTAAACATACCACATAGTTCGGAAGTTGTTATTACCTTGAAGACAGTCAAATAACCTTCCCGGACATAACCCTTTTGATGAGCACTATTTCTTATTATATCTGGAAGAATGTGCTCAAAGTACTCAATACCAAGAGCTGACAAAACCTAATAAGAGAAACAAAAAAGAGAATAATCACTAAATATGATATTACAGAGCAAATAAAATTCCTTTCAATAAAAATATAATACACTAGCAACCAGTCTGAACAAGACATCATATCTAAAATACGTAGAATTAAAAGTCGATACCAATACAAGACAAACTTTTCATGCTCGAATGATGGTAAGGTAACACAGTCTATAAAATGAGTTTTAGAAGAAACTGCTAAAGAATCCTTCATCTAAGAAAAGGAACATCAGTAAGACGAGCATAGTAAGATATTAGAATAATGTAACACAAATACTACCTCCGTTTTTTTAGTTGACATCTTTCTTACATCACGCTTGCAAGTTGTCAACGCACTTTTTTAACGATTAATATGTCTAATTCTTGACATTGTAAATTTATAAAAAGTGTATATTAATGAAATATGAAAGATCCCACTTGACTATGTTTTATCGTAGCTATAAGTCACAAAAGCTAGTCAAAGTGTAGTTAATGAATAGTGGAAAAGTCAAATAGTTAAAAAAAACGGAAGAAATAATTGCTAAAAATAGGAATCTAATATAGGGACAGAGGGAGTACATAAAATAATATTTAGCAACAGTATAAGGAACATTAGTATTGTACACACTCATGACAGATCACAGTCCTAGCAATATATATTACTCAAAGAAACAATTTGCTAGATAGTTATTGATATATTATAAGATAATAATACTTAAATATACCAGATTGAGAAAATAACTACTCCGTATATAACAAAAATGATAACCAAATATAAGGCTTTGAACTTTGAAGAGAGCAACATATGGCCTGATACTTAATGGTTTCAGTCTCCCATGTGAATTAGAGGAGAGCTGTAAAAGAAGTATGATTGGATATAAACAGGGCAGACTCACCCTGTTTATCAGTTTAGTAGCTTTGCTGATGATTTAAGCAGCCCCAAATCAAGGGTTCAAGGATTAGTGATAGACAAGGATCAAGAAAGAGACTAGCAAAGGGGGTCAGGGACAAAGGAGGAGAACGTAGGCTCAAATTCTTGTATGCAACAAATCACAATGTTGAATATCAACCAAAAACACTATCGTAAGAAAAAATTAACATTTAAAAGAAAACAAATTGAAAAGGCAGAAAGGAGACCTATTTTTCCCCAGTAAACCCACCTCACTCAATCCCTGTGCAGCACCAGAACGTTCAACATTACTTCCATCAGATTTAAGCGTTTCCAGAAGCCATGGAACAAGGTCAGGGAAGTGTTCCTCTCCCAGTCCTTTTATAAGGGAGCCAAGTGCCCTAGCAGCCACAGACCGAACTTCAGGTATTGGATCAACAAGAACCTGCATAGGGGCACAGATATTACAAACCAAGACTAAGTATTCAGGGGATATATCTAAGCATATATACCTTTTTCACTTCAGGAAGGAGCAAGCCAATATAAGGTATCATGTCTCTAGGCTCCGTAACTAATGAGCACATATTACCAACAATTTGGGCAGCTTTCTTCTTAGTTTCAGCACTCCTTTCCCTCAACCCTCTATGAACAATTGGTACCAGAAGAGCAAGTGAAGGAGCATCAACAGTGTTGACAAAGGTAGTCTGCAATCAAACACTGAATATCAGAGAAAAGAATGTTTTTACAATCGTAAGTCACATGAGTTATAAAGTAAAATGAATAGGCTTACCTGGAGAAGAATGTCGAGAGCAATTCTTGTATGATCATTGGGATCAGAAAGCGCCGTCAGCAGAGTAGGAACCAAGGAAGCAATTTCAGGATTTTTTATCACACTTCCAACCTGAAAAGGAAGGGGGAAAGTTTTTTAAATATATCTATTGTCTAGCACTGACTAGCTGAATAAGCAGAATGTCCAGTTTTTCAGATCTTACCTGCTGAAGTGCAGTTTGGCCAGCTGACTGGACCTTTGGATGGGTATCTGTCAACACCTGTCACATCACCATTACTTTAATATCATGGGAAGTAAGCTGTATATCTATTATAACTAAACCACATTTTCAAAAGAAATGTCATAATCGCAATGAAACTAACCTCTGTCAATTTAGGCACGATCTTAGGCAAACATTGTGACAGTTGTTGAGGAGCACAATATGCCATTGCACCAAGTAGCTGCACACTACTCTGTTTAGTTCTCCAAGCCTTATCTTCAAGACCCTAGCCAGACCAAAAATATTAGCATAAGAATTAGAGAAACAACAGAATGTCTATAAAAAACATAATTACCAAAAATAAACAAATTATTCAATATGTTACTCATGATAGCAATCAAATGAAGAACAAATTAATGAATGGAAGAAAAGCTTAATAATGCGACATATGAAATGGCACCAGCAAGACCATCAAAGCACAACTAACAATATGGTGATTGCGTAAAAATACAAGGTGAAAAGAAATTTAACACACAAGCACGAATCAACAAGTAGAATGATGTTGAATTAGTTCAAATCAAGATCCTTTACAAAAAAGGTTTCCCTATAGTTTTTCATGATTTCAAATTATAAATTACCTCTTTTCTTTTTGTTATCCCCTATTTGCGATTTGCACAGTTTTCAAGGTAATATTGCAATTAAAATATCTCAAGTTACGTACTACAAAAGATATAAAGATTACATATTTAGAAACTAAAATTCAAGACGAATCTAAAAAGATCCCACATGACTATGTTTATAGTATATATTTTTACTCTTAAGAAAATATTAGCTTCCATAAGCATTGGAATATCTAAAAAGGACAATCAAATAGAAAGAGAGGTATTAGTTTTTACAAATGGATAATAAATACTTCATCAGTATTTTTAAGATGATAACACTTTTAAGTTTGCACTATTCACACAAAATACATTCTCTAATGTTAATAATTTTTCATGGGGAAAAACATAGCCATAGTGTTAGAATTGTCCACTTTTCTTTTTGTATTTTTCTTCATTTTACTTATTTTTACCTTATGTAATACCTCTGGGACTTTGCTTTAAGTATTCTAGGCTGTAGTTAGATTGCAGGTAGGATAATTCCGTTACAGTCAACTTGTGTTTACTGGGAAAATATTGTAAAATAAAACATAAAGCTCTTTAGGGAGCAAGTAATTAATGAAATCCAGGCTCCAATCATTAGCTTTAAATCTTGTGTTGTTGTAGGCCTTTATACTAGTGCCTAACTTGATCTTAAAGCGCCTGCCATAGAGACCCATCAACCAGATTCAACTTACTTGTCCTTCTGAGCGCCTCGACTTCCTCAAACAATCACAAGCCCCAATCGACCCTTGTCGCTAATTTTATCACAAATAGACAAGAGTATCCCTCATACACCTATCTTACTTGGGTCGCTCCATGTCACAAGCCATTCATATACTTGGCTTGCACCTTCGTCACCCCTAGACGAGAGCGCGCCGCACTGATTTAATATACTTGGACAGTCATCTGATGTATAGTTAGATTCGTTTAACATACTATCACAGTCATTTGGGGTTTTAGTAGATTCGCTTTAATTTATACTTCCTCTATTTTTTTTAGTTGACACTTTTCTATTATCACGCTTGCCAACACATGTTTTAAAGGATTAATGTCTTTGATTATTGACATTTTATAATTATAAAAAAGTGGAATTAATAAAATATATAACGAGATGATTCAAACAAGATCCCACATGACTATATTTTATCATATCTATAAATCACAAAAACAAGTCAAAATGTGGTGTGTGCGAATATTGTAAAAGTCAAACGATGTCAATTAAAAAAAACGGAGGAAGCACTTTCTAAACATCTAATAGTTAATAGTTAAAGATAATAAAGGGTAAAGATGACTTGTAAAACATGAAAAAAAAAATGTTTCATCTAAAAAAACGGAGGAAGTAATTCTTATGATCAAAGTTGTGCATTGACAAGTGTGCTAGTAAAAATCTAGCAATTTTTTTTTTAAAAAAAAAAAAAAAAAAAAAAAGAGTTAGTATGAAATAAAGGAAAAAAACTAGTTATTTGCTCGGGCGATGCCCCGAATCATTTTAAATTTATAAGTCTGAACATTAAATTTATATAATGAATATATATAACTATTTATTTATAAGTGAATGAAAATATAGTAATAATTATATAATGAATGTATATAACTATTTAATTTTGCTCGAATATATAGGATGTACCAAATTTGACTCAAATTTTTTATAAAACACTATGAGTGAATATTCTGTACACTTAAAAATAAAAAGTAATTTGATTAGTCAACCATACTCAAAACTAAAGTAGCAAAGTGGTAGGTTTATTCATTATACTACCTCCGTTTCACATTATGTGCAACAATTCGATATTTTTTGTAAGATATAAAAAAATTTATTTGTTGCACATATTGTGAAACGAAGGTTGCACTTTACATAATTAAATAATATTAATAAATTACTTACAAATTAGACGATAGATTACTGTGTAATTTACTAAGGAGTTATATGATACTATTATAGCTGAAAATTAAATAGGGATGTTACGCATATGAAGAGTTTTCAAGTAAGCTAAAATAATTACTATAAGAAAGTTATGCATATGAAGAGTTTTTATAGGAGATTGTACATTAATACAATATGTGTGGGCAAAGAGTAATGACACATAGGATGAAACGAAAGATTCATGTGGCGCCAAATCATCTTGAGGTAAGGGATGACACTTGGCAATACCATGTTGTCCCTTTTAGTTTTGATAATGTTATATATATAGATATATCAGTTAGCTGGGTGATTTAATTGTTCACACTTCAATACTACACGGCTACACAGTCCAAATTGAAACCTCACTCTGTGATTTCCAAATAAGCAGAACATCTGAACCATAAGACTTTAAGGTTCTGATTCATAACCGTTCACTAGGTCGAAAAAACAAGTTGACAATGAAATGCACCTTTAGCAGCGAAGGGAGAACAAGCTTGACCCCCTGAGCAGAAAGATTCGACATCATTGCACGTGCAGCACACTCAGCAGCTTCACGGACAGCGTTAACTTGATCAGAGAAAGACACCAGGAGTAAAGGAAGCATCTGAATCACATAGCTGGACATAAAAAGAGCTGTCAGACGGGGGCAAACGATGGGATATTTTAAAGTGTATGCCTGATAATAGGATGGACACAAAAAGCCAAAAGCATGGACTGTAGTTCATTACAAGGAACAATGACATACGGTTCAAATAATTTTCCAAGCTTCTCACAGAGACACTCAAATCCAAGCAGCGCCCCCTCACGACACTTTGCAGAGGTCCTACAAAGTGAACAAATTATTAAATCAGTGACCACAGTTTTATAAAAAAGTAAACAAAAGGCCCTTAGGAACACCGTCAGTCAAGATAGCTATCCTCATCTAGTACATAGGAGGCGATTTAAGCCTGAATTGCACGAATCACCAATACTAATCCAAAGATCAGAAATGAGCCCAAAATCAGCATGCTTCTTTGAGCGTGATGATATCCTCTGAAAGGAAGAGGGAAGTACCCTTCCCTAACTCAAAGAACACTATAACACAAAGCTCAATCTCCATCGAAAATCCTACTAATGATGTCAAGTAGAATAGTCAAGAATGTATTGCAGATCACCATCACAAGACCACACACTGCACCAAAACCAACTCCGAGGCTTCTCATTAATTGTATCAGCAGAATTGTTCAGACAAACATGCTGAAAATTTAACTTACCACAGAGCATTGCTTACAAGCCAACAAAACATGTGGGTACAAAAATGCAGCATCATACACAAAAAGAACAAAGAGAGCACCTGTCAGTAAGGCCTTCGCGTAAGGCAGGCACAATACCATACTTCTTCAGACAAGAAATTCCAAATCCCTTGACAACCCCAGCCAGTCCAAACGCTGCTCCACGACGTTCTCCATATTTTTCACTCTTCATCATTTGACCAAGAAGCTTTGAAACAAGAAGTGGGCCATCTTCCTGTAAAAGAGAACTGTGGATTAGGTACGGTAATTTCCCACAGAGAATCGTTAGTAAAATTAAGAGGCATAAAATACCTGTTTAGATGGCATTAGTGGAGACAAGCACGATGAGACTGCCCTCTGCACAGCTTCAGAGGGAGTATTGAGCACATCAAGCAGTTTCTCAACAACTGCATGGACTTTAGGGTCATCCTGTCAGAAGAATCAATTTTACATTCAGTGGCACAACAAACAAATTAATTAATAGAAGAGAAATAAAAGTGCACAACACCTTTCCCAAATGTTTTGCCAAAGCCCCAGTAAAAATAACCACACCTTCACGGACAAGATCATACATTTCCTCATCAGAAGCCTGAATAACAAAGCAAAATACCAAACTTATCATATAAAAACGAAACTTATCATATACATTCTAAGAAAATTACAGAAAAATCTGTAAACAATGAACCTTTTTGTTGAGATAATTCTCAAAAATTGGAAATAACAAGGGAACATTATCTCTCCCATGCTTGTCTATAATCAATATACCAGCATTGATCATTCTCCCACGAACATCTCCATTGGGATCAGCCTAAACAATCAATAACCACAGATAATTCGTTATTAGTTGAAATAAAGATATATGTAGAATAATTATAAGAGCATTACCAGCTTCACAATATAAATACATTGTACCTAAATAGGGACCTTACCCATGGCTGATACAGAATGCATGCTCAATTGGTAAATGGTTTTCTGTTATCAAGTATCTACAAGCGCACATTAGATGAAAGTATCCATCAAATTGTGCCTTTTCAACTACTCCTAGACTAGTTTGAGGATCCCTCACTCTAAAATTTCTCCAGACTCAGGTATGTAGATGCCAGATGCATATGACGCAGCTATACTCAGACTGGATTAAGTATGCACATGAGAAAAGTCAAGAAGCCTACAAGTCTCTACTTTTGATATAATAACAAGTGTGTGGCCCGGGCAATGCACCAAGTTTTACTTTGAATATCAATACAAAATATTTGAGCCTATAAACTATATAATTAAAATAAAAGTGAGCAATAATAACCATAAAACTAAATAAGTACTCTCACATTGATGTTTAATACAAAGTATTTACGAAGCAGTATATTATAATTGAATGTAGAGCATAACTGAAATATAGCAAAGATGGTAAGAACATCAATTCATTTCTTATTGGTCTTGTGTTCAAACCTTGTAATAAACATTTTTATTCCCATTAAAACATGTTATAGTATAATGGATGATGTGGCATACAAAACATATGAAAGGTGATGTAGCATACATCTAACACAAGTGAAGGGTGCCACATGGCACAAATTCTGTTTAGGAACGCTTTTTAATATATAAGTATAGATAGATTAACTAATTAAGACAGGGATTAACCCAACCCATTTTACTGACATCCAATTACAAACACCCTAACTCACATCACAGAGACTAACCCAAGGGATTGACAAGGAAAAGGAGAAGAGATGAAGCTGATAACAATTGTGGATGGCAGCTAATTTTGCCGATTAAAGTCTTGTGGGGGAGGGGGGCCTTTGTGGCTCTCTCCATACCCAAAAAATAAAAATAAAAAGATGATTACAACTGACAATGATCTACTCCACTTCTGCCAGTAGAATCTGCTATTTCCTTGTGATTAAAATTCTTCAACATATTCAATACGTTGGTCATTGGATTGGATTAAGACAGCTAACTGTGTCAACAACCAATCCAAATAACAGACCAAAGTTCTAAGGCATGCAACATATTTTCTGTTTGGGAATTGACCCAAATTACATGTCATACTATTGACAACAAGGAATAAAATACACAATGCCCCAAGTGAACATTGAAGCATTATGCCGATCCCACTTATGGCATCCAGACTTTGAGTGATTGATTGATTCAGTGATTGAAACTAAAAGAAAAGGAAAAGAAATGAAATTAAAAAAAAAAAAACACTAAACGCTTGCAAGCAGAGTCTTAGATAAGCAGCACATCATCCAAAATGATGACAACTTTCCAGCATGTGAAACTTTTGAAAGAGTAACTCCACCAGAATATGACTCAGAGAGTCTCCATGATCTATTGAAAAATTTCACAATATTTTGAATTCAATCAACAAGGAATCAGAGTCTAGAACGGACTCCTTCACTCTACACACCAACACTATGAGATCTTTCACTCCCGCAAATAATATTATTTTAATAAATATTAGACCAAGAAAAGCAATAAGTACTCAAAATGAACACCAAAAGAAACAGAGCAAGGAGAAGACACATATACTTGTACACACACATACAACAACAACAACAACAACAAAGCCTTATTCCCAAAATGATTTGGGGACTTGTGCACACACACATCATGCAAAAATGCAAGGGAAGTGGGAACTGAAACAATGACTAACCAGTGCTCGTGAAATCAGAAATGTCATGACAACAGGAAGGTCTTTGGTTCTTAATACATCAGCAGCAGAATGTAATGCCAATGCAACTCCCTGTCTGCCTAGCCACCCAGCATCAATATGTCCATCCTCAACACCAGCATCACGTATGTATAAGGAAAATAGAGTTGCAAGGCATTCCTGTCAATAAATTGAAATGAAATAAAATGGGAAAAAGCTAACCTATTTTGAAGAAATAGCTACTGCGTACAATTACCTGTATAGTATCAGGGTGTTCATCTAAAGCAGCAGCTAGTGCTTCTGATGCAGCCAAACGGACATTGTAGTTAATATGCGAAAGTGCTTTATAAAGTCCTGAATAATCAGTCCCAAGTTCAACTCCATAACGATCCCATAAATCTTCCGCAGCTTCAGCAACTGACTGAAAGTTTTTTTTTTTTTAAATAAAATCAAATGAATGCTTATGGACATGACAGAACAGAACAAACAGCATGTTAAATTAGGTATCGTGATTTACAAACTAAATAGCAGAGAACAGATGGTATATCTCCACATCCTTATTTTTACAAACTTTAAGCAATGCCCAGCTCAAGAATAACCAAATTAATGCACATCAATAAGTAAGGGATGGATTATGATGCACAAAAAGGAGAGAGAGAGAGTATCAGCATTACCCAGCCAATTTGCTCCCTAAGGCCAGATATAGATACACTAAAAACAAACAGCTGAACATTACAACAGTAAGCACATTCCCAATGTTTTACAAAACAGTACTCTAACCTTGTTTTCCAAGCATTCATCATATGGAATAAGCAATTGACTGACTAGCTTACAAAAACTAACCAAATGAAGCTATAGTTATTACAGGGGCACAGGTAGACAATTCACAGTAACTCAAAGGAAATATCATGATTCAAGTTCCAAGACAAACCTTCTCTGGATCATGCAACGAAATCCATATACTTGTAGCAACCTCAACATTCTCGGGAACACAACGACTAGAAACAGCAGGAATACATTTTACAGCATTCAAGCAGGCCATCCTTACATGAACATCTTTAGCATACACACCATAAAGTGCCTGTGCAAAAAAAGGTAACCAAAAAAATATAAACCAAAGACAAAGTTAAACAAGAATACATTGAAAAAATGCAGCACATACAGATGCAACTTCATCTGGCTTCAAGCCTAAACACAGCTCATTCAGAGTTGATCCAATCGCTGCTTGATGACTAGGAACTACACCAAGAACATGATACAGAACCTATACGGAAGGGATCATAAAGATTATCAGGAAATGCAAAACAGAGAAAGGCAATGTGACGACACAATAGATTTAGAAACTTTAAGCTGCAATCACTTAACTGATAACATCCTCAGCCTCGGAAGAGGCAATATTGGATCAGTATGTAGATACAGGACTCGAAGCACCGCATCATGAACAGCTGTTTTCTTTGGTGACAAAAGAATCCACTCCATAATCTGTAAACAGAGTTTCATAGTTTTAGAGTTTAGAGCCAGAAAAAGCGAACATTATCATAGTATTAAAAATATACAAAACTTACTGGGAAGACAAATAGAAAGGTGTCCACCGGAAGAGGTCCATATTTACATGAAACTGTAAATCCATTCACTACTCTATTAAAAAGACCAATAGAAGGCCTTTCATTTGACTCTTCATTGTCAATTACTGAGATAAGATCCAATATAATGTGGCTTTCCTCTACTTCAATTAGTCTTAAGGCAGTACCAATGTCAAGAGCCCAATTTTTGAGTGGAGGAGCAATACATTGGGAAAGCTTCACCAAAGTTTCATAAGCAACATCGCCCACTATTGGTGATCGAATAAGAGGATTGACAAACTTTACCTGAATTTTAATATCATAGAGTATAAGCATCGAAAGGAAACAATGGCAGTTCAAAGAGCTATACTTATTAACGAAGAATATATAAAAGCATGACAACATAAAAATGTGAAGAATCATGTATTAAATATCTTAATTAACTGGGACTAGATTAAACAATTTACTGGAGTCCCTCCAAAAAAATATTGTCCTAGTTGACTTTTCACAAACAATACGTACTATTGGGATAATTAGTAGTCTCTATTTGCTGTTGGAGCACAGCTTTGTCTCCTACATTATTCCCCCAGTTGGCTTTTTAATTCAATATCGGTTTTCCAGTAAAAATACAAGAATTGTAATTAATAAGTCGCATTCAACCAATAAACCATGACAACACATGTTAAGCTCCTTTTACCGCAACAAAACAGGAGAGAAAGAAACCCATGAAAAGCCGCAGGAAGTTTTCCCTCACCACATATGAAACGCCTTATAATCACCAACCACACAAAAGCCTACACTGTTAAGAGGAACCTTTTCCTTCCAAATAGTTTTTTGTAGCATGAAGCATTAGAAAGAACATTCTACAAGAAAACGGCCCCAAAGGATCTGTGATCCCATCATTGCAGTCAGTCAAATCTAGAACCTCCACCACCTAATAAAGCTCCTCAAGCACCTCCATTAGTCCATTGACAAAATACAAACAAAAAACATCAGAGCTGTAATCCCAATAATCGAGATCGGCTTTATGAACAATGATTTTCCCTTGCTTAATCCTCAATAGCCAACACTACAATAGCATTTCTCCCTTGCTTAATCCTCAATAGCCAACACTACAATCTTCATCCATATATCTCATTCTTAATCCCAGTCATTAAGGTGTTCCTATACCATCTCTACAACACTCACCTCTCTAATGCAATCCTTCCTATATACCCAACAGATTTATCCATCTAACAACGCTAGTCTATGTCATATAAAAACTTCCCTTACTTTAAAAGTATGCTACAATCACAGTGCCACACAATAATCAATCGCAACTCCTTACCATTGAATGCAACAATAACCTCACTTGAACCCCTCCTAGCAAGAACTTGCCATGACTAAGTCTAAATAGTTAAAACACCGGTGATTCTAACTTAAGCCTCTAAGGCTCTAATTCAACACTAACCACAACTTTATTCTCGTCCACGGTCCACCAATACAATAGATACACAAATAACAAATAATCCCACTGCCACTTATTACTCTTCAGAAGTTCAGAGGTTTCTCTAGAATGTTATTTTGAGATGGCCATCAATAATAAAATCAAAATGCTCCCTCCAGTTCAATATATATGTGATATTAAAGGTTAACATAGAGAAAAAATAATGACTTCAATGCTCGATAATCTAACACTTGTTTTAAAGCAAAATAAGGGTATAAAAAACTTTGTAAAATTTTAGATAACAGTTAATTTGAAGCAAAATAAAACACTTATGTCAAATTAGAGATGAAAAAAATGAAATCTATTCAAATGGCTAAGTATATAAAACCAAAATTAATAACAGCAAGATAGCAACCATGGATGCCAGTTGACTGTGCGCGAATATAGGATTGGCGATGGCCATCGCACCAAGAACCCTTAAAGCCAAAGAAAGATTCCTTTGTATGGCCTTGACCTTCTTCCTTATAGAAGCCTCCTCCTTTAGGATAAGTTCTCGTGCCTCTTCTTTACCAGTCTTGCCCTTGTCTACACACATTACAAAACACAAACAATAAATGTTTGCACTCATGCTGAGAACTCATCATGAAGATAATAAAGAAGAAGAGATTCTAAAAGTCAGACCATTTTTTTTTGCTGTTTTTCCAGAGTCTTTCTTGCCTGGCCCAGCAGCATCTTTTCGAGACAGATCTTTTCGTACAGAGTGATTGGAGCTCACATGTTCCTGGAAAAACCCATAAGAGAAAACATAAATTAATAAATAATGAGAGGAGAGCAAGCCCCAAATGGTCCCCTCTCATAGTGCAAGCTCACTTGCCATGTCATACCACATAACAGGCAACCAAAGTTATTACGACACTTTTGGTAACATACCAATTAAGCAATAAATTTAGGAAACTATCTTCAATTAATATCAGTCAAGCAGCAAGATATTTTTAGAACATTTTAATATTGAAAATAAAGAAAATTTCAATATTGTTTTCCTTCGCAAATTTATACATCCCATTATTTATCAAAATTTAGATGTCAATTAAATTTAAGGAGAAGATCACCTTGCTTCCCTGTTCTTCAGAGTCCCTGGCAGCAACATATACACCAACCTCACTTGAGAGAGTACCCTCTGGGGTATTAAAGATCTGAAATCAGAAATACGTCATAAATAAGAGATTTTATGGGAAGCTACAAACACAAGTCAAGCTTGATGTTACTATAGAGCTGTCATTATGTATGCTGCACAATAACATAAAAAATGCACCAAAAGTTACAGTTAAACAGAGAACACTTAAACATGACATCTTTAACACACACCCAAGAAACAAGAATGGAAAAGGAAATCATATTAATTATAAGGAGTAGAATACTCTTAGAGATGTCCATATAGCTTTGGACCTTGTCACTTCACACAAAATATAGCCAACAGTACCCTGCCTTTTACAAATAAAAAATTACAAAACGAGATGATATCAAACTGAATTCTCGCTTCAATACTTCATTTGCAACCAACTACATATCTCCATGTAATCTCAGATATATTTTGCATTATATTCCATAGAAAAATGTAGTTATAAAACTACCAAAACTGAGTCATACTCACAGCAAGTATGACACAAGGTATGGAAAATCCAGTGTGTTTCTCTAGGGGAATAAAGAATATAATTAAGTAAACATATTTAGATGTGCTATACAAGTCAAATATCCATCAAAAACAAAATAAAGGCGAACAATCAACTTCCCCTACTGATAATATCAAGATTCAAATAGAGCCAAACCAATAGCGAAGAATCACTGCAGTGGAACATAAATGAAATCGGTGAGCGAAATAGAATTTTACCTTAATGTCATTTGGAGAAAGAGCATCATGTGTATAGCGGTCAGGCAGACTGCTACAGTGCTGTAAAGCAATACAGTACACAGACGATCAGCACAGAGAAACAGAGGATTAGTCTTAAAACTCTATAATCTAACATCTTGGGCTTCACCTTTTCAAATTCCAAATATGTATCACTTGGAGCTATAGTCATCAGTGTACACAAGGAATGAATAGCTCCCTGTTGTTCAAGAAGATTTCTACTCATCAATCCTGTTGTTCCTACAAGGTCCTGTAATAAACAACAATATCAAAAGATATGAAAAAACAAGAGCGCGGCCGATAAATGTCCTCAGATAATAAAACAACAGTGAGAACCCAGAAAGAAGCAAGTCAGGCAGCCTCTCTGAATGTTCAGAGCTTCAGATAGAGAAGATGAACATTCATGACATAAGTAGTGCGAAAGCAGATTGTATTTTACCCACAAAGTAGGCCAATCAGACACTTGCCGGCATTTCACTTGGAAGGAATTTTATTTTATTTTTACAGGCTGAGAATGAAATATCAGAATAATGAATCTAAACTAAGGACTGATTTACCTATTTTAAACAAAAAAAAAAATTAAGGACTGGGAACACAAATAAATTCACATCACACTGAGTATGCTAAGGTATGTCAGACCATAGTCATCTGAAATTTAATATTGCACAGATCAGTGACTTGAAAAGATATGAAGAGTATAAGTGTACAACTCTAAAGTCATCATAGATAAGGATAGATAAATAACCTCACAAATGCTTTTGATCTCTCCAGCAATAATGCTCAGAGCATCAAAACCCTGTGTCCGCAAGCATGTTGATATTCTCTGGAAAAAATAAAAGCAAATTATTGAATATTACAGGCATGATTAAAAAGAAAAAAGAATCTGATAGAACTGTTACCACAATAACATAAAACGAGCAGCAAAAAACAAGCTCATAAGCATCAAAATCTTAAACCATAAAGAATTACATCTGTAGCTAAATTTTGCAATAACTTATCAAAAAAGAGAATGATAAGGCACAAAAATTAACCACAAAATCATCAGGAGCTTAATTCACCAGGACTGCTCATATTTGAGAGTGAAATATGGTGATGCAGAAGTTAAAAGACACAAACATTCACGAAACTACAAGGAACTAACACCTTTTTTAACAAAGAAAAAACATGTGTAGTAAGCAGGGATGAGAAAATAGGTAAGACAAAGTGATCAAACATCTAGAAAACATATTAACAGTGACACCAATCAGCATGAAACAATGTAGAAACTCAGGCCACAAAATTTTCAGTCAAATGGCACAGACAACAGGTCAGGTAACAATTTCACTGCCTTATATGCAAGATATTCTTACCGGGGAACACATCTTAGCCAGAAACTCAAACAAAATTCATCAACGATTACAGAGTAATTTATGAAAAAGGTAGCCAGTTGAGCAAATAAATTTACCTGCCAAATTCCATCTCTCTTTCCGGTGCCAAGTAAAGCCGGATGATGTGAGCAAAATATGACACGACCGCATGTCTCTGGAGCAACCGAAACAGCTGTAGAAGATATATTTACCAGGGCCTTCACCATTACCTCTACAGATGGAAGGAAAGAAACAGAGGCTTCCACTGCATTTTCTGTGTCGCTACAAAACAACAAATTAATTACCCTATTGCCACATGAACTTGCTTATAATTTCTTTCTATATCAAAAACAGCAGGGACATAAGGTAAATTATAACAAACCCCTAAATCTCATGGAAGCTTCACAGTTACAAAAGTAATTTTACAAAACTAAGGAACAGACTAATCACAATCAATGTCAGTCAAAGAGACAAAAAATAGGCTGAGCTTGCCAATTCACCCCAAATCCACATATCGTAATATAAAGAAATAATAAAAATAATCATATTCCACCATGACTTACTAAATATCAACCACTAAAATCTCTTTCTTTTCCAAACAACTACAGCATCAAACCAATTGATAGCCATGCAAGCTAAATGGCATTAAGATTTACTCTCTTTAACCCCCTAAAAAGTGGTAGTTTAATGGGAAGTGTTCCAAAATAAATAATTTAGTAAATATCTCCCATAATTGCAACTACTTTGTTCAGCATGAAGCTAACACAATAGACATATTGCAAGAACAAAGAACTTGCACTCTCCTAATAAGAAGTAAGTTTTCATAGATCTAAACATAAGGCATGTGTACCAACAAAGGCTGCCAGCCTTTCCTTTGAAGACCTGTCTTTAATGACCAAGGGCCAAAAAGAAAATGGGTAGACAAGTAATAGACACCCTAGGGATAGCTACTAGGCATCAAGGAAAATACTTGGACACCAAATATTTAAAAAAAAAAAAAAAAAAAAACCACCCTCCTCAACAAACACAGACTCCTAATCTCGCCCCACAAGATGAGGTTCCCATCTAGCCCATCCCCAACCCACCCAACCAGCGCCCCCCCCCCCCCCCCCGAAAGATTATGTCTTTACACCTCTTGAATTTTTCAAGACTGCAAAAACAATACCTCGAAAATAAGGGCAGTGCACAGACTAGAAAGGCAACCATTATTAATTTTCTTTTCCTGATAGACTACAAACTTATATTGTGTGGTTTCTTACTGACAAAGGAATCCTTTATCTCTTCAAGCTTTCATTGCAAAACAGATCTTGAGGTTATCACAGGGAGAACTCCAGTAACTTTTTGGTTAACCAAAACCTCAGAAACTATATATACTGTGTGGTTTCTTAATGGCAAAGGATCGCTCAATCTCTTCAACCTTTTAGTCCAAAAGAAATCTCAAGGTTCACAAAGGGAGGAGTATAGTAAACTTCAGTTAAGTTTGATTAACAAAAACCTGACCAACATAATAATTGCTCTTTACTATAAGCACAAAAAGCACCCAATTTCATATTTTCTTTCCGATTTCCAGATTCAATCAGAACAATTGAAAGCCAGAACTCTTAAAAGTTGAGATATTTCTTTTAATAACTGCTTAGCATGAAATGGTATTTTGATATGACCTCCAAAATGTGGTATAAGTAGTAATGGAGCACAAAGAGCAAGAGATTTTCTAAAATGAGATCTGAGTAGTTTATGCTGTTTAAGAAGAAACCTTTTTAAGAAACAAAAAATTCAATTGGATAGCTTACAGTATGTGCTTGGAATCAGGATGATCCTTGGCTATTTCCACACTAGACAGAATATTTTAGGAAATTAGGGTGAAGGATTTGAAAAATCAATGATAAAATCAAAGATTGGATTAGGGAAGACTAGTAAGAAATAATGTTGGAGCTTTCCCAAGTAATAATTCTCCCAACATTTCTCAGTACCCCTCGGTATGCTGTCAACCCCAACTGATTAACCTCAACATTTCCTTATCTGCTCTCTACTCCAACACTCTAACTAACTTCTATCACAATTACAAAATAACTCCTCTTACAACTCAGGAGAATATTTCCTCCACTACCATTCCCCTTTCTTCTAGTATAAGTGACTGAGGTAGAAGACTTAGATTGTTTGCAACATGGTACAATTCTTTTACATTCTAAAGTCTTGCAGAAAAACAACAATTTTGATATTAAAATAAATGAAGTGGTAAAAGAGATAACAGCGTAATTATAGACAGTACTGGCCCATGGTAAAACATATACCTTGTATGTAAGAGACGAGCTTCTACTACAGTTGAAAGAAAAATGGCAAATTCTTTCAAAAGTGTGTCTGCTGTCTGGGGAACTGCTTCAATAATTCTTTTGGTGCTTATATAGGCAGCTTTGCGAATTTGCCATGATGGATGGCACAAAAGATGGAACAATAACTGTAAAAGACTTGCATTAATAACAACAATTATATGAACAATAACACACAACCAGCAACCTGACTAGCTTACCTGAAACAATGCCTGAACAGAGAAAGACTCTAACGTCCTGTACAACAACAAAGGAATCAATTCCCATTACTACATAAAAATATAAATGGCCATTATGGGCAGCAGTTTAAGCCTAAAGGAAAGGTATTGAAAGTATTATAAAATAAAGACAAAAGACACCACAGAGGTTAGCCCAGAAATAACCTTTTTGTATGGTCTATCATCATCACATGAAGGAGATCAACACAAGCCAGACAATCTTCACCTGATAGCTTCGGGACCTAAACAAAACAGACAACAAATGGAAAAGGTTTAATGATTGTCATAATAGCTATTAGCTTATAACAAACAAAGAAGATACATAATAGTTCAAAGATGCAGAAAGGTAGAAGCTGAATCATGCAACCAACCTGCTATCAGCAAAGTTGCATGTAATACTGAGACACCAAATTATGCTCTGTCCCTGTCCCTCTCCCTCTCTAACTCAAGCAAAGGATGGGGTACAGATGAGACAGAGCATCTTGGCCTTTTCAATAAAGATGGTTGCTTTCTGTATGGTTACATCCTCATATAGGTACAGTAATTGTTGATGATTTAAAACTAAAAAGGACTTTACAGTTGACTGAACGAACAAATTGTTTTAAAAAAATAAACAGCATTTCATATATATATGGTGAAACATGAAGCCAAACGGTTGACCACAACTCAAATACCACATTTGTTCACAATTTATTTCACTAGCAGGTTTCCCACAGAGATTAATAGTAATAAAATTAGTTTTGTAAGTGAGCACAGATAAAAACAGAAGGGAGAGAGACCACAAAGAAACCGAGGCAGAGTGTTTTAACAGTCACAAATCAATGTAATATCATTACCACCAGAAAACAGGAATAATTCATACAAGTACAAATAAACAATACCATGGAAAGAGGAACCAATGATGGCTCATTTTGAGCAACTAAAGACCAGATCTTCTCTTTTGCAACAGCCTCCTCTGGAATACAGATTCAAAAAGAACCTTTAAGAGGACATATTTATAAAATAAAAAAATAAAAAATAAAAAAAATACATCACTAGAAGATGATAGAGCCCACTAACAGATATTATTACTCATATTAGTTACAATTTAAAGGCTACCTGCTTTCATATCAACAGCTACAATCTTTGCAACCAACAGCAACGCATAGATGCTATCCAGACGCTGAACTGATTTCGTATAACCTGTTTTTACTATTTGGATAAGAGGTCCCAGCAAAGATGAAACCTACATAGTAACATCAGCAGCAAAAGTAACACTCAGAAAGAGCTGTGGCCGAAAAATAAAATAGCCACAGAATACAATAATTACCTGTATAGTGACATCAGCATTGTTGCATATAATCCTTAGGCATCTGAGATGACCTCTTCTAAGACCTTCCTTCTCTTTCAATCCCGAATTCAAAAAAGAAACTGTAGCTGGTTGGATAGAATCTGCCCCTCGCGCTAGCCAAGAGGCCAATGCTGACAAGATAGCAAGCTTTGCTTCTTCGTTTCCTGCATATTTGGAAAACAAATCAGTCACACGAAGTTTACAAGAAAAACATACGAGTATACGTTATGCATGTATGTAGGAATATCACAGTTTGTAAAAATATTAATCACCTTCATCCTTGTAACAAGACAAGAGAAAGCTGCATAATGAAGATGACAAATCGTTCAACAATTTTCCTCCAGGAGCATTGGACAATTCCTGCAGGGCATTGAACATCCCAACCCTTTGGTAAGGAAATTGGAGTCTTCCCTCTGAGCCTGTTGATGAAAAATAAAGTACCAATTAAAGTTTCATAGAACACTAATACCACAAGATACTTAAGCAACACTTCAACTTTCAGCCAGTAACAGCAATCCGTCATTATAGAGCTTCATAAACGTTGACATCATACCTCCAATTACAGATTTAATGGCTTTAAAAATCAAATCAATAACATCTGGATTACTGGATTTTTTACTCAAACACTGCATAATTGCCAAAGCACCACGCCTCCTTCCTTCATCGACATGGCGAGCTTGTGGTAAAACCACTGAGAGGAATTCAATCGAATATTTACTTAAGTCAATGCTCACTGATCTCAAGAGAACCTCAACTGATTCCAGAGCTATCTCGGGATTGCGTTTCAACATTTTGACAGATGAAGGAACAACAACATTTTCGAATTCTTCATGCGTTAGGGACAAAAAAAGTGGAGAAAAAGCCTCACTAAGTCCCTTTGCAGGTTTCTCTCTTGAACTAAGAATAGCTTTCACATATAAATCGAGGAATATTGGCTGCACAATGGAAAGTTACTTTAGAACTCTATCTCAAGAGAACAGCTGCCAATATGACAAAATAACGGAGAATAGTCTCACCTTGTATTGTCCAAACGAAGGATTCTTTCTTGAATATTCTATCAACAACCAAACAATATCAGGACATTCTTTGTATGGTATTTTCGCATCTTTCAACTCATCAATATAGGCTTTGTAGATATCCTGGGACTAATGACATTATACACATAACGACAATATTTAGTACCAGCTCCAAAGTCAGAATTGTAAATTAAAATGAAATGGAAGGATTCTAGCAAATTGCAATTATGGGATAATGGGATTCAACCTTAGACAATAGGCTAAAAAATGATCGTTTAGAAGCCCTTATCTCACGAAAAGATCCTTTCATAACAAGATGAAACAGTGATGCCTGTGCAGCAATTACTCTGGACATAGCATTCTTTGAGATAGAGGGAAATTTACTGCTACTTAAAAGAAAACAGGACCACTTTATAAGCCTGTAGGATCCAACATAAGAACGAGACTTTTGCAGCCTCTCCATAACCTGAACAAGGCTAGCTGCAAAAGCTTTAATGAACCCAACCTCACTCAACGCCTTTAAAACAACATCATCGACAGCCTTCCTCGATCGAAGATCATCATAAATGAACAAAGTTTTAAAGATAATATCCACAAGGACAACAGCAACCTCACTTGACATATCTGCAATGTTTAAATATCAATCAATTGAGACAATGGTGTTCAACTAAGCTAGAATCAATCAAGCTATACTAAGATCAGGTGAAATGTTGACCTTTGTTTAGATAAGAGCAAGAAATTAGATGAAAGATTTATGTGATACAAAAACAAATATTGACATCTAATTAAAAAGACAAGAACTAAACTGTGATAAAAAAGACTGGCTAGATTTATTGTCAGTGTTGGAATAAAATGAAATCAAAATTACGGCCATGAGCAAATTATCTACCCTAATGAAAAAAGTAATTTACATAATTCAACAAACCTCAAGCACATTTGATGCATTTACTCTCCTGAAGAAAAGATTGTATAAAAAGTACGTGAAATTTGATATCTACTACAGCATGTAATTTTACAACTTAACAAGATGTTTGCACAACAAAATCTTGCTATCTTAAGTCTCCCAACTTCCAAAAAAAAAAGTTTAATAACTAAGGCTATGTCATTTGAGCTTATTCAAACTTATTAGAACTTATTTTAGTTGTAAACTGAACTTGGGTAACCTTTATTAACATAATTTATATTATCTTATTAGAACTTATTAACCCTCATTTGGACGTATTTTTCTGAAATAAGCCGATAGAAGGTGAACATAACAATGCCTAACTTCAACTTGTAGGAATGATACACACCCCTTTTGACTAAACATAGTTGCAACTTGACTTGTCGTCCAACATAACATAAATATTCTCAGTCAATAGTGTATGTTCCTTTACATTAAGGATAGATATACCACACCCTTTTTCAGTTTGCACATGCCCCCTAAGCCCTAACAATTCTTCATAAAAACAGAAGTGAAATTTTTTATTGCGTTCAGTTCACAAGTAAATTTCTCTATTGAACTGATTGTATATTTCAAAAGTCCATCCACAGAGTCCCACAAGAGGATATACATCATTAGCCTAAATTCCGATGTAATAAACTCTATGTAGCTGATTTTAATTTCACTTATTTTACCTATGAAAATTCTGGAAGTGATCTAGTATGCCTCCTCGTGACCAAAAATGCAGAGAATCAGTCTAACCAAACAAAGAATCACCTCCCAACCTCAGGTACATACTCGCTCCACATTAAGCACCAAACACCTAAACTGACACTCCGCTTAAGAAACTCGATTCATTAAATCCGTGGTGCAAGCACACAACCGATTCGGCAAACTATTCATTTCACCTTATTCATATGAGCGTCCATACAGCATTACCATTTCTAAGCTCCATCATTATATCATCAACCGAAATCGAAAAATTGCTATTCCAAAATAGGTAAAATCTACATTATTCCTCATCTCCCAACATAATTCTACTCTTAAAACCTCACTTGAATTTCCAGTTGCTCTAATCTAGCTCAATTAAGTATAATTACACTTAAATCGTTCCGAAAATCGAAAAACAAAATTGAAATCAATCTCAAAACTTCATTTAATCATCAATACACATAAATGTTCAATCCTACATTCAAACAAACAATTCCTTTACAAAAAACACATTAGTTTAACAAAAATAGCGAAAAAAAGCATTAAAATGGAGATAAAATCGGACCAGAATTTCTGAGAACATCGGGAATATCATAGCGAAAGAGGCGAACACGAAGATCAGTAGAAGAAGTAGTGACGGACTCGGCGAGTAAACTCAGCCGCTCAACAGAGTCCGCCATTGAAGAAGAATAAGGAAGCTTCTACGATAAGGTAAGGATCCAAATGAGGAGGAGAGAGAAAATGTGGTAAAAATGGTGATGAATGAAGGGTTGTAAAAATGGAGGAGAGAGAAAATGGAGGTGGTGTTTGAAGGTTATATGTATTAGGGTTTTAGATGTGTTGTGTTGTTGCTGCTGAAACTGCTGCTTGGTTGAGTTGTGGAAGACAAAGATATTTGATTCAGGTTTTGAAATTTTTATTTATTATTTTAAGATTAATTCATTCAAGAAGCTGGAATAGCTCAGTTGGTTAGAGCGTGTGGCTGTTAACCACAAGGTCGGAGGTTCGACCCCTCCTTCTAGCGAATTTCAAATTTTTTAAAATATGATGGAGTTTGTTTTGTACTAATTACTTTTTGATTTCTATGCTTCATGAATTATTACTTTTTTTATTTCTCTTAACAATGAGTAGTAGTTGCTTTTTTAAAAAAAATTATTACTTTTTTATTTTACCTTAATTATTGTCAATTGTGGAGGCTAGGGCTGTTCATCGGTCCAAGACCGGACCGGACCGGACTGGATTGGACCGAAGACCGAAAATTAGAATGTTAAGAACCGAAGACCGGACCGATTAAGTTAGGACCGAACCCGGACCGGACCGAAAGATTCGGTCCAAAACCCGGACCGGACCGCTTTGGACCGATTTAAGATTTTTTTAAAAAGAATACTAAATTTTTAATAGAGTTAAGGAAAACACAAAAAAAGTATTGGAAAAACTATATTGTAACGTCATTTTTACGTATTTTTTTGTATGTTTAGTGCAAAAAAACTTATAAAGTTAAAGTTTACTAAGCTTATTAAGGATAATTTTAACCATTATTTAAGGTTTCACACATATTTTTAATAAAAAAATCGGTCCAGTCCAAAACCGGTTTCTATAGGGTTTTGGACAGGAATGGACAGAAGACCAGAAAAATGAATTTTAAGACCCGAAGACCGGACCGAATTCCCGAAGACCGGACCGATTAATTCGGTCCGGTCCGGGTTCGTTCCGGGGTGGTCCGGTCCATTTTTTCGGTCCTGACCGATTTATGAACACCCCTAGTGGAGGCTACATGAATTATTATTTTTTAATTCTCTTAACAATAAGAGTTTGTTTTGCACTAATTATTATCTTCTTTCACTGTAATTGTTGAAGCTTAAAGGTTTTGATGATGATGAACATAAACTAAAGCAAACTCAACTCATAAAGGTTTATAAGTGTTTGATTAGTACAGGTGAAGTTGACCTTGGAGGTGGAAGAGTAACTTAAGCTAAGAAGACATGAAAAGACCTTTGAAGAAAAGTCAAACAATGTAGAAGAAGAGTTCTCTAACAAGAACTGAGTTCCTTAACAGGAATGTTCCCTAACAGGAACTTGGAGGATACAAGCTGAAGACAGTAAGTTCTGGAAGGAACTTAGTCTGCAAAGTTCCAGTTGAAGACTGGAGCAAGAGTGACAGCAGGAACTTGGTCATGGTCTGCGTGAAGCCCAAGTAATTCAATATTACAGAAACGCGGCACAAAAATATCAATTTAGTTAAGATTTTATCTTCTAGATTTATTGTTAAATATGTTAAGTAAATATGCACGAAACTTATTAGAAGCATGACAAGATAATTGGCAAATTTAATTAAACGGAAAAAGATAAAAGATAGATTTTAAGAAAAGATTTTCGAGATAATTTATTTCTTAAAATCTGGTTTTAACAAAATATATTATTCTTTTTGCTATAACTTATCTTATCTTATTTTCCGAAAAGATTTTCTCTTAAAAGATTTACATAAAACTTTATTTTGTGATTTAGTTAAATTAACTTAATTATCTTTTGAAAAACCCTACTTGCTATATGAGTTAATTTTGTATAAATAGTAGAGATCACATTTTCATAAGTTTTTTGTGTGAGTTTTGCGTGAAAAATCTCTGAGCTTAATTTGTGTAAGTTTGCCAAGCTTTTAATCTTGTCATAGTTGTTTTAGGGTTTCGTGCATTGCTTGCTTAACATATTCTAGATGTTATATTTTCTGTAATTGGTTGGGTTATTGGGTGTGTGTATGTGTATGACATTTATATTACATACAGGTAAGATAGCTTTGAGTGTAAAAGTTGTGAGGTAGTACTGTGATAGTGCGAGTGAATTCAAGTTTGAAACTTGAGTTGGGTAGGATAGGGTCCTACTGTATAGCAGGTTTAATCTGGAACTTGTGAGTAAAGGTCTGTCATATAATAGGTTTGTAGCTTAGTGTTTGCCCTATTATAGTGGATTGGTTTTTATCTGGGCCCTGGAAGGTTTCCTCGTAAAATCCTGTGTGCATTGCAAAGTTCCTTTATATTCTGTTTTATATTTTGCAAAAGTAGTCACTAGGAACTCAACTACAATTCACCCCCCTTTTGTAGTGTTCGTTTCAACTAACAGTAATTATCAATCGTTTGTGGTGGCATGCATGTATGAATTGAGCTAATTAAAAAACTTTCATTAGTCATATTCATGGTCTAGGTAACAAAAAGATTATTCAAACGAGTAGTGAGAGAAATTTTTTAAGGTTAACAACGTTTTTACATTTAGATTTTGTTTGATACAATTGAACTTTTTTTTTTTAAAAAAAAAAAAAAAACATTATATGACTAACTTATTAATTGTATGAATAAATGAATTGATATGCTTGTAGTAGAGGTGCTCAAAATTCGAGTCAAGACAAGCTTTATCATGAAATATTATACCCAAATCCGCAAAATTGGGTCACGCTGAATCAGGGATCACCATTACCCTGCGGCTATGCTTGACAATGATAGATATTTGGAAGTTTGAAAAATAGACAAAAACGAACCAATAAAGTGAAATTAATGCGCTGGAATTTCATTACATTTCTAATTGGGTTGATGTCACTGATAACTTTGCTTTGATTCTGTTAGTCGAGGAAATTGACCAAGTGCTAATATTACTAAGCTAGGTCATATGTTTGAAGAAACTATTATGGAATATTATTTTATATTTAAAAATAAAGATGATTTAGATAACTAATTAAATATAAAATTTATAACACCTTATCTTGAAAAATAGTACCCAAAGTAACTTCTTGATTTAATTCCTTTTTATATTATCACCTTGAACTTTATACAGAAGATCAATCAATTCCTTCTAACAATTATTTGAGTAGTCTGTAATAATTTATTTTGAACCTTATCATTTGAGGTGCTCCAAATGTGATGTCAAACATATATAGTATGCATGAGATAAAAATCCAACTAATTATTAAGATACGTAGTATATAGATTTCAATAACATTTATAGACTTGTGTGACGATTTGTTTTAAATAATTTAATTATTTTAATTTCCACATATAATTAACTAATTACTTTTTCAATTTCAACGATTTTCTCAACTATACTATTAAGACATCGTATATTCGTATAAAATAGAGTTGTTGAATTAGATGTACAGATTAGATACGTATCTTAGTTCGAGTCTCATATGGGTGTTAGATTCGTTTCTAATGCAAAATCAATTGATGTTTAGTCATTTATTTTACAATCCCATTTGCATGTACCTGGTGTACAGTATTTTTACTGTACATCGGGTTTTTCGCACGTGCAACCCATTTACTGTTTTTTTTTAAATCGCGGAATTTCATACCTAAAAATAAAAAAAAAGCAGAACAACAATGGAGGAGAGAGAAAGTGAGAAAACGCAGCTCTCGATCATCCATTGAGGAGAGAGAAAGTGAGAAATCGCAAAAATTGCAGAAAACGATCATCAATCGAGGAGAAAAAAGGTTAGAAAACTTACAAATTGCAGAAATCGATCATCAATGGAGAATTCGACTTTCGATACAACAAATTGCAGCAATCTCATTCATGAATTGCTACAAAAACAGAGGCAAATTGAGACTGAATTTGAAATCGATTTAAATCGATCGATTATAGAAGAAGAAGAAACTAATTGTTTTGGAGATGAATTCGTACCAATATTCAACAATCCAGACAATGCAGATGAAGCAATTGATAATGCAGATGAAGCAATTGAGAATGCAGAAGACGAAATTCACAATGCAGAAAATCAAGTGGTTCCTGATAAATCAATTGATTCAAATTTAGAACAAACAACCAAATCAAATGCAACTGAAGGTAATTTCTATAAATTTTTGAGATTGTATGCAAAAAGTAACCCTTTGAATACATAATTGTTACCCTTTTCATGCATAAACGTGACCGTACTTATGCCTAAATGTTACCCTCAGATTGAATGCAGAACTTTTGAGATTGCATGTAAAAAGTAACCCTTTGAATGCCTAAATGTTACCCTTTTCATGCTTAAAAGTGACCCTATTTATGCACAAATGTTACACTCAGATTGTATGCTGAAAATTCAGATTGTATGCAAAAAGTAACCCTTTGAATGCCTAAATGTTACCTTTTTCATGCATAAAAGTTACCCTATTTTCAAACGAATGTTACCCTTTTTTTATGCTGCCTGTGGTTATTATCTGATTTGTTTGTATTAAATAACAGATACAAATCCAATTGATGCTTCTGGTTTAGATCTTAGAGGATCATTTGTTGGTGTGGTAAGAGAAACTTTTGAAGAAATTTTGGAATTGTATGAAAAACATGCTGCTATACTGGGGTTTTCAATAAGAAAACATACAACTAGATTCAAACAACACACAAAAATAGTAACTGAGAAAAACTATGTGTGTTCTGCTAAGGGAAAGAGACATTCAGGTCAGAAGAAAACAAAGTTAGTTGAAATGGTTGATGAAGAGGATGTAAATGTAAAAACAAGAAAGCCAAGACAAGTAGCCATTACAAGATCGAATTGCAAGGCATGCATAAGAGCAAAAGTGAATAAAGAAGGACAGTTTGAGGTAGTGGCTCATGTTATTCAGCATAACCACGAGCTAACAAAGCCACAGTGGCATTATTTGCATCGTTATGAAAGAAAAATGACAGGAAAAAGCTGAAGCAATCAAAACAATGAAATCTTCAGGTCTAACTACAATGGACACTTACAATTACATGGTTACAGAGGCTGGAGGAGAACAGAATGTAGGCCATAGTGTTGTAGATCACCTGAATTTCTGCTCAAGGTTAAGAATGGAACAAATTAAGGTTGGAGATGCTCAAACTTTAGTGAACATTTTAAGTCAGGAACAATGAGAGGATCCAAACTTCTTTTTTAGAGTGAAGTTTGACAAAGAAGGAAGAATTTGCAATATCTTTTGAAGAGATTCAATGATTCTAGAAGACTATAGGATATATGGAGATGTTCTTGTCTTTGATACAACATACAGAACCAACAGATATAATCTTATATGTGCTCCATTTGTTGGCATAAATAACCACTGGCATAATTGTATGTTTGCATGTGCTTTTATTGGGGATGAAACGACAGATTCATTTGTGTGGTTACTACAAACCTTCTTCAAAGCTATGGAGGATATAAAACCAACTTCAATATTCACTGACCAAGACCAAGCAATGGCAAATGCAATTCTGGAGGTAAAAGATTTATATTGACATCTTACAGATTTGAGCTCTGACAATAAAGTTTTCCTTTTTCACATAAAGTTACCCTTTTAGCTGCATAACGTTACCCTTTTTAGTGCATAAAGTAACCCTTTTAACAGCATAAAGTGACCCCTTTATTTTCAATGCAGGTGATTCCTAATACAAGGCATAGACTTTGTATATGGCATTTGGAGCAAAATGCCATAACCAGATTTGGAGCTCTTAAAAAGACAAAGAATTCAAATTTGCATTCAACCAGTGCTTAAAGATGTGTGTGACAGAACAAGAATTCGAAGCAAAGTGGCAGGCAATGTTGCAGAAATATGAGTTGACAGAACACTCTTGGTACAAAAGAGTGTATGAGTTGAAAGACAAATGGTGTCCTGCCCTTAGTAGAGATTTCTTTTCAGCAGGGATCTTATCGTCACAAAGGAGTGAAAGCACTAATCATGCTATAGGATTCAGAGCAAGTAAAGCAACTACTTTGACAGAATTTTATACCATATTTAAGAAGACAACCAATCGTTGGAGAAGCACAGAGAAATATGATGAGTTTACCTGTAGCAAGTCAATAGCATTCACTTCATTGCCTCTGTCTGGAATGCTAAAGCATGCTGCACAGGTAAAAAGTTAACTGACAAGTACATAAATTACACCTAATATATAGCAATTTAAATGAAGCTACATGATTTTGATGTACAGGTTTTCACTTTATCACTCTTTAGAGATTTTGAAGAGGAGTTTGGATACTCTATGGCAACAACTGTTCAGATGTTAGGCAGTAATGAAGAATGCCTACTTTATCAAGTAACACTAGAAGACAAGCCATGGTCTGCACATCAAGTAAACTATATACATGAGAGCCAGACTGTATGGTGTACTTGCAAAAATTTTGAAGCATCTGGATGGTTATGTTATCATTGCATCAGAATTCTACATTTGCATTCAGTAACAAGAATACCAGACACGTATGTTTCAAAAAGATGGACTAAGTTTGCAAAAACAGAGGCATGGGATAGGTTGAAGAATCAGGATCCTAAACAGCAATATATTCCATGGAGGCAAACAAGTATGAGGAAATACTACAGTCTAATCTTAAAAAGTCAAGAAAATGAAGAGACAATAGCATTTGTGGAAGAAAGCTTCAGAAACAGTCTTAAAATGGTGGAAGACTTACTTGCTAGTGCTGCTCAGAAAGAAAGTGCAGAAGCTGCTTCTAACATTCCTGATGTGGCAGACAACACTCAAAGCAATACTGACGTTTCTTCAGCATCGAGTACAAGCACAAGTGTACCAATAATACTTGATCCTAAAAGGGCTGTAACAAAAGGAAGAAGCAAGAGAGAAAAAGGAGGACTTGAAAAAAGCAAGAGAAAAAGAAAACCAGCACTGCCACCTCCAAAATCAGAATTTGGATCAAAGACACCTAACTTACGACTCTTTTAAAATCTTTTTTAGAACATTTTTTTTTTCGAAATTAATATACCTTGTATTGTTAAACTATTTTTCTTTTGTTTTTTTACTTTATGACTAGTTTAATGAAAATGTGATTGACACTTTTATTAGCACATGTTTAATTATTGGAACACATCAACTTATGTTACCCTTTTAACGTATAAAAGTAACCCTTTTCATGCATAAAAGTGACCCTTTTCATGCATAAAAGTTATCCTTTCTATCCACTAAATCAACCTTTTCTTTGGTAATAGTTACCCTCTGTTGATAAAAGTTACCCCTTTTATCAATAAAAGTTACCCTTTTCATGCATAAAAGTAACCCTTTTCATGCATAAAAGTTATCCTTTCTATCCACTAAATCAACCTTTTCTTTGGTAATAGTTACCCTTTCTGTTAATAAAAGTTACCCCTTTTATCAATAAAAGTTACCCCATCTACCCACAAAAGTATACCTTATCATGTATAAACTTATTATTTCTACCCACAAAAGTAACCCTTTTTATGCTACAAAGTAACCCTTTTTATGCACAAAAGTGACCCCATAAAAACATACATAAGAACCTTTCAAATTACTTAATGTATGCACATACATTAGTATTCCAAAAGAACCAAAAACTATACACTAAGTTTAATTACATCATTTAACTTGATGTATGTGCACATACATTAAGTTTTTTCATTGTTCAAAAAATACTCCTAGACCTAATCAACTAATAACTAACAGTCATTTCACCCTTTAGAAGGAGTGCATGTACTTGTCTGTCTTCTTTTTTGCCCTTTTTCCTTTGGGATTCTCTTCTTCTGCCTCTGCCTTTGCTTCTGCTTCAGCTGCCATTTTTCTTTCTTCATTTTCTTTCTTCTTCTTTGCAGCAATTGCATCCTTTCTTCTCATTTCAATTCCCTGGCAATAAGCAGGATCTTTCTTCTTCTCATTGAACTTCTCTAATTCTGACAACAAATCATTCCTAGATTCATTCAAATCACAGAGCACCAGTGTGGTACAGATCTCATCTTGCATAAATTTTCTCCCAATAATCTCACAACAGAAAAAAAAAAAAAAAAAAACTTATCAATATGTAATTAATAAAAGCATTAGAAAGGGAAAAACTACAGACAAAATAGATTTATAATTACTGTTTTTAGTTCATTTAATTTGAACGATTCGCCAACAAAATGGAGCATGTGATACATGACAAACACCCCACAGTCCAAATTGTCAACTTTATCTTTTCTCCATTCCAACTCAACAATTTGAAACCCATAAGAAGGTAGCTGAGAACTCTTTGGATGATTTCTTTTTCCGAGAAAAACACCCATTTGATCACACTGACATAAAATATAAAAGTTTAGAATAAAATAAAAACAAAAAAAAAAATTAAATGGAAAAATAAGTAAACAGAAACATAACAATGAATCAACATAAACATACCAAGTGTGAAGACAATTCTTTGGTATATTCAAGAGCATCATCACGCCAGATAATATTGTCAAGATAATATACCACCTCTTTTGTATGATCAATAACAAACAAAATGTAGTGATTCTCAACAAGAACAGGAAAATAGATCTGAAACAGAAAAATTAAAACACTGATTTAGACAGAGGAACACAAAAACAGAACTTTTTTAAAGTTTTGATAGTAATTTAGCATGAAATATACCAGTTCAGCATCCATAATATCACATTCAGGATTCTCATAGCTCACCCAACCTTCCCATAAATCGTGCAAATCATTAACAACTTGTGAAATTCCACCTTTGCCAATGTTTTCACAAACATGCAAGAATGCAAACTATTAAAAGTATGAGAACTTGTTTATATATTTATATAAAGTAAATGTGTTTAAATATATATAAAAAATCAAATTACTTACACTTTGCCTCACACCAAAGAAGAATTTTCGAGGACCAGAATCAAAACATGCCTTCTCATTCAAATACAGACAGTAGCAATCAATGATGCACCATCGAATTCTAAGTGGAGCTACCAGGGACACCATGTCTTCTCTTGGAATTAAAAAATTCATCCCAAAAGTAACAAGGTTCTCACTGCAACAATAAAAAATAAGATAAGCATTAAAAAAAAATAAAGGAAAAAAAAACATATAAAAATATAATTATCATAAAAAATGACACTTAACTTCCTCATCATTGAATCATCCTTCAGTAAACAATAATCAAGAATTTCCAAATGTAACTTAGGCAAATTCTTGAAAATCCGAGCATTAGCCCTCAAAAACAGTGTAAGAAAAGGCACATTCACACCTACTGGCCCACAGTCGAGTGAGCACAAAGATTTATTGCCTCTGATGATACTTCTAGAAGCATTTTCTACAGAAGGCCCAGCATTACCATTGACATCATCCTCAGACCTATTCATTACAACACTTTTTCCATTACCATTGACATCATCCTCAGACCTATTCGTTACAGGTTCATCTCCAGGAAACTCATTGTTATGACCTTCAGGTTCATAAAAATCACGAAGCAATTCATGAACAGACTTCATCTTATTACACTCCTCAATTAAACCATCTAAAAGCTTCAGGTAATGAGGATCAGAGAGTAGCTGTTGAGTTTGAGAAACTGCAACAGCATCATCAGAGGATAATGAAACAGTTTTGCGAGAAGAAATCATATCACTCAAGGCTTGAAAACCCTATGACTGAACCAACAATAATACATCCATATTTCTTTTAACCAAAAGAAATGTTTCATGAACAGCCTGCAAACATATGAATTAATAAGAAACTATACAAATGTAACAAATAAAAATAAAAAATAAATGAAAATTCATGATATATGCATAAAGTTACCCTTTTAAATGCATAAAGTTACCCTTTATTATGCATAAAGTTACCCTTTTAAATGCATAAAGTAACCCTTATAACTGAATATTTAGGGTAACTTTAGTGCACATAAAGGGTAACTTTAGTGCATATAAAGAGATAATAACTAAATATATATATAAAAAAAAAAGAACACTTACATCAGTTGAAATTTCTTTAATTTCATCATCAGTCATCACATTTTCCGGAAGCTCAAATGCAAGAATGCGGCTACTTCTACCACTTGTAGAAGCCCCCTGACCACAAGTTTGCTTAACAACAGGATCCCTAATTTGAGGATGTGAAACAGGATATGTAAGGGTATCCAATAGTCCCTGCCCAAAATCACCAGCTTTGATCTCCAAATTGATCCGCTTCTTAATCTTCGCATCAGTCCAATGTTGAATCAAAGGAAGGGTACTACTTTCCTTTTCTCCTTGAAAATTTAATCGATGAAAATACATAATTTGCAAAGCTAGCAAACAACCACTTACATTTTGAGCATTTTCATCATTCTTATACTTCACAACAGCCTTCTTTAACTTTTTCAAAACATATGAACACCAATCAAATGTTTTGATTTCATCAACTTCTTCAACAGCCTTCAGCAACTTCAATGAAACAGTCCTATTAGTAGAAGGAGCTAAGAAGATAGACATAGCATGAGGCACAAAACATCTCTTGAATTCTTCCCCACCATCATCCAAATCAACCATCCTAGACTCCACTTTTGACAAATGCAGAGGTTGCTTCTCAGTAAGACCATAATCAAGTCTCCATGACTGAATGATACGTTTATCTACACTACCTTCTTCAGGATTCTTCTGAAGTTCAGGAACAGCAACCTCACTCATAGGCAAGCCAAAGACATCGCATATATCATTTTTAGTAACTACAAACTCTTTACCAGCAACAATAGTAAACATGCAGCTACCACCATTAAAGTGTTCAACAAGCCAATGTAGCATTTGACGATTCAAAGTTTTCAATTTCAGATGTAATAAACCACCAAAACCTATTTCTTCAACAGCTTTTTTTTTTATTAGGACTAAAAGTACTCAACATAAATTCCAATGTGTGTGGTCTGCACCTTGCAATCAAGGGTCTTTTTTCCCTAAATAATAATAAAAAAAATAAGTTAAACAATATCAGAATCAGAATCATGATATATATAATTAAAAAATGCAAAACAAAAAACATGTATACTTACACAACAGTATCAGAATCAGAAACCACTTGCAATTCAGAATCAGCTACTGTTTTGGCCTTCTTAGATACAATTTTAGACTTCTTAGGAGCTTCTTTAACCTTCTGAGACTCTGCTTTGGCCTTCTTAGGAACAATTTTAGCCTTCACAGTTTTAGACTCTGGTTTGTCCTTCTCAGGAACTGTCTTGCTCTTTTTAGGTACTGTTTTGCCCTTAGCAGGCTCTTTACCCATTGTTTTTCCCCTTGAAGGCGATTTATAACGATATCCACCTATTGAACCACCTATATCTAATTAATACAGAGAATAACCATAAATTACAAATTCACAAATTACTCATGGGAAAATTCAGAATATATGCATAAAAATCCTTTTAAATGCAAAAAGTGACCCTTTTAAATGAATAAAGTGATCCTTTTAATTGCATAAAGTCACCCTTAAAAATACAACAAGTAACCCTTTTAACTGAAAAAGTAACCCTTTAACAAGCATAAAGTGACCCTTTTAAATATATAAAGTGACCCTTTTAACAGCATAAAGTCACCCTTTAAACTACAACAAGTAACCCTTTTAAATGAAAACGTGACCCTTTTAACAACATAAAGTTACCCTTTTCACAGCATAAAGTGACCCTTTTAACAGCATAAAGTAACCTTTGTCATGCATATAAATAACATATATATCTATTACTCACACACAATGCACAATGCACATATTACTGTTACTCAAACACATATACACAAACACAATGCAGATATGCATACTATTCTCATAATCTAACTAAAACCTAACATACAAAATTTGAAGAATAATAAGCAATGAATAAAACTTCTGAAAACAAACATGCAAAATTTGTTTCACATATAACAACACCACAACACATGTATAACAAATTTTGAACCAATTATCACAATGAACAATAAAATAAAGCAAAATTAAACATAATAACTTCAAAA